ATATCATTCTCACCAATAGTCAATTTATGATGATAAGTATTTAGGCTGCATTCAAAAATGCTCTATCTCTAGATACATAATTGAGAAATTACCTTGTGTCTTGTGAAATATTGATATTTTTAAAGATATAAGCTCATCCCGGTGTTACACTCATCGAGACCTTTCATTTGAGTACCCACATCAATTTTTCATATATTTATATATATGTATATATGAAAAATATATCAAAATGCATGTGGGTACTCAAACGAAAGGTCTCGATGAGTGTAACATCGAAATGAGTTTATATTTTAAAAAATGTCAATAATTAAGAAACGACATTGTATCTTGTCAAGTAATGATATTTTTAAAGATATAAGCTCACTCTGACATTACACTCATCAAGACCTTTCATTTGAGTACCCACATCAATTTTTGATATATTTTTCATATATACATGTATATAATATACATAAATATATGAAAAATTGATGTGTGTACTCAAATGAAAGGTCTTGATGAGTGTAACATCAGGATAAGCTTATATCTTTAAAAACATTAATAGTTAATAAAGTACAGTGCAATTTAAAAAAAGTCATTATTCAATAAAGCAAAATTTTATTTATTTATATTTTAGAAGTCACGGCAGTCACATAGTGACTGCAAAATTGCTAGTAATACTAAAATTTTTAAGTTTTTTAGAATTTTGTGGACAATAATAATAAATTGTAATTTTTAAATTAGAATTTACTTCTTAGAAAGTAAAAGCAGAGTTACATAAAAAAATTTATATTTTATATTAAAATAAAAATAATAATAATGTTATATCATACCTCTATTAGCAACAAGGACACTACGAATTGGTTTGTACTGTACATCAGTTCCAAAATTAACATTTAAAACTCTAAGTGAATTTCTGTGCCTTGTTAAGGCCTTGCACGCTCTGTGCGCTGAATACATGATGAATATTGTTTATTTATTTATTATTTATTTATATTGACTTTTTTTAAATAATTAATATCGAACGTGTGAACGGTTTGTTCAGACTTTTAAAAAAGCTCCTCGTTATATCATCTTATTGATTAAATCACAATGCAATAATTAATAATAAATTGATTTATCTCGAATTATTGTCTTTTTCTTCTTATAGTATTTATTCACAGCCTATTGGTGCAGCTGGTTCGTTTGTGATCGGACGGCCGGTTCGAATCTGCACAAATAAACATAATTATCGTTATCAATAAAATCAATTATTTTAGAAAATAACACGCTACAATATTTATGTTTTTCCTTTCCGGCTCAAGCATTTACACATGCAAATATTTATTACCTTTTGTGCTTATCATGCTCATTAATTATGCAATCACTATTCATTAAAAATAATATTTGATACAGGATTTATCACTCAGTTCTACAATATTACTTTGATTTTCTTTTGAGCGGTTAAATAAACTTTCATTTGATAATTTGTTTTGATACTCATATTTTTAACTCGGACTTCAAAACAAATGATTTTTATTTAAAATTAATGAAATTTAAATTTCATTTTTTTTCCTTGTGTACTTATTTAAATTTTTTGTCAATAATGAATAAATAAATACTAAAAATAGCTCCGGGAATTTCATCAAAAGGTGTGTATTATTAAGATGTTAAGAATTTTTTAATGATAATATCTTATGAATAAAAAATACAGTGACCGCATTCTATTGACATTAAACGAATTTGTTTTTCTTTTTTTTTTTTTTTTTAATAAAATGGAATTACTGCATTTTATTGAACGCTTATTTTTTTCTTTATAATTGATCAAATTTCATTGGAAATTTTTTTTTTATCTAATTACATGTAATTTAATATCATGAATAATTTATTGCAAAATGCGTCATAATTTGGATAAAAATTATTAATGAAATTAAAATTAGCCATGAAAATTTATTATTTTTTTTTTATTAGTTGAATAAAAAATAAAAAAGTATTTTTAAAAAATTGCACGTATAGTTTTTTAAATTTTTTACATGTGCAATTTTTTCTTTTAATTTTTTTATTATTTTATTAATAAAAAAAAAATTTCTAAAAATTGTCAGCTGTCTGCTAATTTTATTTTTAATAATTTTTTAAACTGAAATTTTTTTTAAGTTTCAATTTAACATTTCGGTTCAAAATAATTTTTTTTCTTTTTCAAAACAAAGTCATAAAATTTTTATATTTAATATTAATTTCATTAAAAATATTTTATAGACCATTAAAATTTTATCTTTAATTCTAAAAATAATTTTATGAAAAAAAAAATTTAATAACTAGTTAAAAATAAAAACTAATTTTTTGTAACAAACAAAAAAAAAATAAAATAACATTGTCCGAATGATAAATAGAAGTTTTAAAATCCACTATCAGTTTTCTTCTTAAAAAATGACGTAATCACGCTGTCTATCATGATGAAATTTTTTTTAATTAATTAAGCGGGTAATCAACGAACTCGTTAACCCAAATAAGATCACAAATCACAATAAATCTTAACATTCCTGATTAATGAATAATCTGCAATTTAAAAATGAACTGGCGAGTCACTGTTGGGAATCACCGGAGCAATAATACGCATCATAAATCCTCAACTCGGTAACCGCTCTCCATATCATCGCGTAATAATGCATCACACTTATTACGTCTATATATAAATTCATTTACGTATGAATCCAGCCTATTGCGATAAACAATATCACGATGACTGCAATTGTTGTCAATTGTTGTGAATCGAAAATATTTAAGATTAATTCATAGCATAAATTCATATACATTATTTAGTCAAATTAATTAAATCGATCCTGGCTTACAATCCAATGCATATTTATTATTAAAAGTTTAAAGTCCATTCACTATTAAATTTAATTCTTCTTATCACGTGTAGACGAAAAAAATATAAATAATAAAGCATTTTAATTTTTTAAAATTATGAAATTCAATTTGTCTCAAAGTCACAAGTTCAATTGTTCTTATCAATTTTTATTCTTATTAATTAATAATTATTGCTGTCAATATAACCGATATTTTTTCCAACACTTGAATTTATTTTTTATTTTATCTTTACCTAAAATTAAATTGACTTGTTATTACGAAATAAAAAATAAAAACAATTTACGTCTCTATAAAAGGAAAAAATTCTCCATATTTTTTATAATTAATCGTTTTAATTAACGCAGTTTTTTTTTTTCCTCTTATGTAAGCCAAATATGTGTCATATAACTGCACATATACATCTACTATATAAGTGCAATATTTTAAATGAAAAAAACAAAGGGCTTCAACCCCTGTAGTGTTATTGATCTTCTTTACTTTTCTTTCGCTGGGTCACTGGAACTAGAGCAACAAAATTGTATAATTAATTATTTGTGATGCTATAATTAGCAATAAATAATTTAAAAAAAAATTTTTATGACATAAGTTAGCAATCCCTTGAATATTTATTTTTAGTAAAAAATCATGACTAAGTTTATCAGACATCTAACAATTTTTAATATTTTTATAATAATTAAATAATAAAAAAAATTTTTCAAGTAGAAATTTTTAAAAATTATAAGTACGAATTTTTAAAAATATTTTTTTTACAATAATTAATGAGATTAAAGTTAGCAGTCACTCAATAAATTTCTAATTTATTTTAATAAACAAATTTATTCTAAAAAATTGTATTTTCAATTTAAAAAAATTTTTTTTCTATAATTTTTTTTTTTAAAGTATTTGTTGAAAGAATCTTAAAAATTGTCAGATGTTTGGTAATACCTGCATAATAAATATTTATATATAAAAAATTAATTTCCCAGAATTATTAATAAGTAATAAAAAGCAGCATTATGACAAACTTCGAGTCTTTTTAATTTTTACTTCAAATTTTTTTTAATAAAAAAATTATTAAATTTCTGGTAAATAAATTTTAATTTTTTGAATGAATTATTATTTGTTGAAGAAATATTAAAAATTGTCAGATATTTGGTAATACCTGGATAATAAATATTTATATATAAAAAATAAATAAAAAATGAATTTCCCAGAATTATTAATAAGTATTATCAAGCAGCACTGTGACAAATTTAAATCTTACAGATGATTGAATTAATTTGTTGATTAACGATGAAAATTAAATGCGAATGTTGGCATCGATCAGCTGACTCGCAAAAACTCAAAATTCGGTCAAGGATTTTCTTGTATCAAGTATAGAAGATTTAAAAGTAAGTAACATTACTTGAGTGATTTTTCGTCGGGAGAAAGGAACTGAAAAAATAAAAAAATAAAAAAAGATTTATTAGTTAACATAATGGAGCGAACACAAGTTCTTTTTAAGCAATCCAATAGAAAGTACTTGAGTTTTTTTACGTAATAATAACACAAATTGGTGAATTAATTTTCACGTCAGAGTTCACTGATTAAATTGACTTGTTTGCCTGAGGAAAATAATGCGATAGTGAAAACTGCGTAGAAACATGTATGTATTTATACCGGTAATTTCAGTCGTTAATATTCACAGCAATTGTTTTTAAAAATAGGTTAAACATTTGTTAAAAAATATTTTTTTTTTTTTACTTATTTCTTCTTTTTTTTTTTTTTTAAAAAATTCCCTTGATTGTAATTAGATAATTTTAATAGGTACTTAAGAGTTTTAAATTGTTTTTTTGCGGTGATGGGTTGTAAAACAAAGTAATAAAAATAGAAAGAAAATGTGATAAAATTATCATGCGAATTAGGTCGGTTTTTCAATAATAATAATAATAATAATAATAATAATAATAATAATAATAAAAATAAAAAAAAAAAACATTTTTTTTTAAGACATACCTCTGAAGAAATAAAGTTGTTAAATTTTAAAATCAACTAATTTGCATACATATTATTCGTAAGAGTAAATATCGAAAAATATTTATATATATATAAGCTAATGTATCTATCTACATATATTATTAATAATAATAAACACTGCAAGTTCACTAGATAATATTAATAGCGAGTAGTAATTAATAATAACACAATGTACAGTTATAAATAAAATTATGTCATAATTACAGAGTCTTATTCTATAACGGAGACTGTTTTATAAACCGTCCGGCTAATCACTAAAAATCGTACTAAAAAATATTGTTTGGCACACATGCGTTCGACCTTTAACTAAAATATTTTTTTCTGCGCATACGCGGGACTGCACTGCGCATGCACTCAAAAAAGCGCGGTGGAGAATTTAAATCTTAAATCTTATCACATAAGGAAGAATATAAAATTGGAACAATAAATTTATATTAGAGATTAAATGAAGTAATAATTGAATTTTATATATTTAATACTTAAAAATAATTGAAACTAGCAACCTCGCAGTCACCATGTGACTGCTGTGACTTGTGAAATACAAGTAAATAAAATTTTGTTTTGTTAAATAATGACTTTTGTTAAATTACACTGTACTTACTTAAATATTGACGTTTTAAAAGATATAAGCTCATCCTGATGTTACACTGATCGAGAGCTTTCATTTGAGTACCCACATCAATTTTTCATATATTTATATATATTATATATATATATGTATATAGCAAAAATATATCAAAAATGCATGTAGGTACTCAAATGAAAGGTCTCGATGAGTGTAATGTCGGGGTGAGCTTAGATCTTTAAAAATGTCAATTGTTCACAAGATACAAGGTCATTTCTGAATTATATTAAATTGCACTGTACTTACTTAAATATTGACATTTTTTAAAATATAAGCTCATTTCAATGTTACACTCATCAAGAGCTGTCATTTGAGTACCCACATACATTTTATGATATTTTTCATATATACATATATATAATATATATAAATATATGAAAAATTGATGTGGGTATTCAAATGAAAGGTCTCGATGAGTGTAACATCAAGATGAGCTTAGATCTTTAAAAATGTCAATTGTTCACAAGATACAAGATCATTTCTTAATTATGTATCTAGAGATAGAGCATTTTCAAGTGCAGCCTAAATACTTTTCATAATAAATTGACTATTGGTGAAAATGACGTGAACCCTTGAAAAGGCACAACTTCAGATCAAAACCTTTCTAATAATACCAAATTTAACCATAAAAACCTATTTTATCATATAAATACCCTGACCACAAAATTTTTCTTACTCTCTAAATAATATAGATCAAATTTTCCTTAATATTACACTGTAAAAAATTTTTCAAAATAATTACAAAGATAAATAATAAAATGAAAAATTTCTAATGACAAGTACAGATGAAATCATTTAATTATCATTTTATTATCATTACATCTAGCAGTCACTTAATCTGTGTCAATTTTTAAAGCGTGAGCTACAGTCTTACTCAAATGATAATATATATTAAATCACATTAATTAAATATATATATGTATATTCATATTAATATATATTTTTTTCTAATACTTTGTTTTATTTATTTATATATTAAGATAATACGCCAATGCATGCAATAAATGCACATTAAATATTAAATGTGTTACATACATTTAACATAGTTATAACAATAAACAATATTTACTTATTATTTACATTAAAATATTAAATACGTGTCCTAAGCGATAATGAATACCAAATAAAGTTATCATACAATTTCTTAATCCCGCGATAATACATATCAACATAATGGTCTCGCAATTAATAAATATTTTTTAGTGATATATATTTATTAGTTATTTTTATAATTCTGATTATGTGATTGCTGATTATTTACAATAGTAAAAAGTATATAGTGCATAAAAATAATAAAAATATCGATTTAAATATAATTATTCAAAATATAACCATCCCTGATATTATCAATAAAACTCTTTTCTTTGAGCGTAATTAATTATTTTAATTACTTTTTTTTTTTTTTATTTATTTATTATTTATAATTATAACTAAATAAAAAAATTTTATCTGATATCTAATTGTTTTAAAAGTTAATAAAATATTTCAATTTATTTTTTTTTTTATTTTTATTATAAAACTACCTTACGCTATTATTAACCAAAATAATTGTAATAGTAATTATAATTCAGTAAATAAATATAAATATTCAATTTAAATATTTTTTTCTTTCTACTCTGTTAATTATCGCCATTTTGGAAGTCCATAAAAATATCTACACATATTTATAATATGAAGGATAATTTGTACATTGCAATCGAGAAAGATTAAATTATTTAACCAAGTGCTTTTAATTAATAATTATTGTTATTATTATAAATAATTTAAATTTGTGAATCACATCAGATATGCATATATTAATTTAGTTATTATTTCTTCAGTCGTATATACTGTGACAACCTAATTGCACAATTCCTCGCTGATCATCATCTTATTACTTCGAATATTTTATTTCTTAATTTTTTATCATGCTTTATTTCAATATATCTTTATATATGAGTTTATATTTATTCATTTTTTTTCATGAATTTAATTAATGATTAATTGTAATTGTCGAAACGCGAAATTAGCCTCCACGTCAATTTTTTATTAAATAATTCAAAAAAGAAAAAATAATAATAATTTAAAAAATTATTATTATTATTGTTATAGCAAATACTTTTTTTAGTCACTATCGTCTTTAGTTTCTGAGTCAAGTAGTTTCGATCTATGATCTACTTCTTCTTCGTCTTGCTTTTCATTCAAAAGTGGCTCTTCAACAGTTTGACATTTACGACGATGAGCCTTAAGCTGCACTACAGTCAATATACAGAATATTAAAATTGATATTACCATCAGCGTCACCAGAATTGCAAACATCTGCTGATGAAATTCGCTTATTTTCTGAAAACATTTAAAAAAAAGTATTAGTACTACAAAATACAAATAACTAGCAGCCATGCCGTCACTCTGTGACTGCTGTGACTTGTGAATTAAAAATAAATAAAATTTTGCTCTTTTAAATAATGACTTTTGTTAAATTGCACTGTACTTTATTAACTATTGACGTTTTTAAAGATATAAGCTCATCTCGATGTTACACTTATCAAGAGCTTTCATTTGAGTACCCACATGCATTTTTGATATATTTTTCATAAATACATATATATGATATATATATAAATATATAAAATATATGAAAAATTGATGTGGGTACTCAAATGAAAGGTCTCGATGAGTGTAACATCGGGATGAGCTTATATGTTTAAAAAAATCAATAGTTGACAAAATACAAGCTCATTTCTTAATTATGTTAAATTGCACTGTACTTTCTTAAATATTGACATTTTTAAAGATATAAGCTCATTCTGGTGCTACACTCATCAAAAGCTTTCATCTGAGTACCCACATGCATTTTTGATATATTTTTCATATATACACATATATAAATATATGAAATATATGAAATTTTGATGTGGGTACTCAAATGAAAGGTCCCGATGAGTGTAACATCAGGATGTGCTTATATCTTTAAAAATGTCAATAGTTCACAAGATACTAAATTTAATCATAAAAAACCCATTTTATCATATAAATACACTAGCCACAAAATTTTGCTTATTCTCTTAATAATATAGATTAATTAAAAAACGAAAAAACACTTGTTATATGTAAGCTGCAGCGAAATCAATATTTTGTTCGCAATCGTTAGACTTTCGTGACGCTTAAGCCAGTACGTGTTCGTGCAGCTGAGGTACTCTCTAGTTACAGCCGACTTTAAATCTCAATGCTAATAAGCCGAGTTATAAATATAAATATTATGGTCGGCATTGCTTCACACATAATAGCATAAACAATAATTACAGGAACAATAATAACAGTAGTTATGATAATAAATATCAAAAACAAACTTAGCAGTATTTAAATTTATAATTACACCCTAGTTAAAAAAAAGGAAATTACCTTCCACTGGCTGTAATCTTTGTAGAGTGAGGACTCGCCAAATGGCCATTTGTCTTTCCACGGCTTAATAGTACCCTCAGGTGTCTTGAATATCAACCCCTCGAGACTAAGACCATGTGCAAGTACACTTGTAGTAATATTTCCTTTCTTATAAGACGCAATACCCGCTTTCATGTACATCTGCGGTATTGTTTCGTTCTCACGTAGTTTAAGAGTCACACGTGGCATCTTAGCTTTTTTATAAGTACTTGTCGAGCTTCCAGAAGTAGTTGCTGTTGTTGTTGTTGTTGTTGTTGCTGGGTCAGTGAACTCGGTCTGGACTTTCGAGCTTGTTTCTGGAGTCGGTGGTGATGTCTCAACTGATAGCAATGATGATAGAAGGAGTGAAGCTGTTGATTCTATTTTTATATTTATTTCTTCTGTTGTTATTTCTGAAGTTGATTCTTCTGAAATTATTATAATTTATTTATTAATTAAAAAATTAATCATTTTGTAGAAATTTATTTTTGAATAAATAAATAAAATATGTTGAAATTTTTATAATTTAGAATTTTGAAAAAAATTTATTTTTTTTTAAATAATTAAAATTTTTTTACATAATTTAAATTTTAAAAATCAAAATTTTTGTAACGAATTAAAATTTTTTTTAAATTTCATTTTTGCAATGTATATACATTTAAATATAAACAAAAAAAATGTAATCTCAATCGGAAAAATATTTATATTTGTAAACTTCAAACTTTTTTTTTTCAAAACTTTTTTTTTAAAGTTAGTGAGCAAAATTTATGAAAAAAAGCTAAACCAATCAATCTCTAATTTTTACACAATATTTTTTAATAATTCAAGAATTAATAATTCTAAAAAATTTTTTTATAAAAAAATTCAAGGCTTAGATTTTTATCAAAAAAAAAATTTTTTTTTGGTTAAAAAATTTTATTGGATTTTTAAATTTTGATGATTTAAATTAAAGATATCGTGCTCACCAAAAGACACTTTTTTTTTTATAAAATCTCTTTAAAAAATAATTATTTATCAAAAAAAAAAAAACGAAAATTGATATTAAAGTCCAAAATTTAGTAATTAATTACTAAAAATAAACTTTTTTTTCTTAAATTTCCTTAAAAAAACAATTATTTATAAAAAAAAAAATTAATATTAAAATTAAAAATTACTACATGCACATCAATTATAGAAAAAGTGATTTAAAAAAATTTTTTTCAGCTTTTTAAGTGCATGAAACCCATTAAAAAATACCAAAAAAATTAACAATTACCTGAACTAGTGTAATTATCAGCAGTAGTCTCGTAATTATTAAAAGCCTCACTAGTTAGTGTTATAAATTCAGTCGTATTATCCACATCAATGCTAATATCATTGCTATTATTATTATTATTAGTATTGTAGATATTATTATGAATATTAATCGGATTAGCAACTAATTGAGACACCGTGTGATCATCATCAACATCAATGTAGTCATCATCGTCGTATCTGGTACCATTAGCCGCATAAGTTTCACTTAAAATAATGATGATAGTCCAAACGCACATACAAATAATAATAGCGGGAATAATAAGCTTGTATAGAATAACCTTCACAGTAGTTAAATATTTATAAACAACCCGGAGACAATTATTATCACGTGCTGAGGGCGATGGAGGAGGTGTCATCGGAGGACCGTTGTCGAAAAATTGGTCCGTTTGCGGTAAAATTGTGTATTGGAGACTCGCATCTCCCTTGCGAACTGTCTTGTACATTTTCACCTGCCAAATAAATAATCCTCAGTTATTTACACCAAAAAAAAATTAAATAAATAATAAATAAAAATAAAAAATACCTTTTAGGGGTTTTTAGTAAATTACTTACGACAGATAATAAAATTAGCGATAAAATGAATAAAAAATAGTACTTGAAGATCCGAGACTGTAGAGAAGACTCTCTGGAATGTAGTGGAGCAGATCTGTGGTGAGGGCTTGCACCAGGAAGGCGCAGATGCGTTTCACCCAAGGGCCAGAGCAGAGAATCGAATGCAAGTTAATATATAATAATATAAGAGAAGAATAAAGCGCGCTTGCGCTCAATGTTTCGCGTTAATACCCAGGGATTTAAATGCCCTTTGACATTTAAATATTTTTTTTTTTTTACTACATAATACACACAAGAGTCTGTTGACATTGGTATATTAAAATTAAATGCATTTTATATTTTTGTTGATTATAAAAAGTACATTAATTATTTTAAATCCTAGCTGGAAGACGTTGAGGAACTTGAATAAAAAAAAAATCTATTACAAATCCCTGAGTTTAAGTTATAAATATTGTTTTGCCGTAGTATTGATATTTATTGCATTGTTGGCATCGCTGTAGAAGACGTGATATCGGTTGTATCTTCAGATCTCCATAGTTGGGTTACTGTTTTCGTTTGTGTATGGAAATTTATTCCCTAGAGCATAAATAAGTTATCAATAATCAATAGTCGATAGTTAAAATATGAATAAATTTATATTTCTATTGATATTTATGTTGGAGACTTACGTATTTTCCATAAAAGTGATTGTCACCGAGGAATGATCCTTTGTTGCCGGTAAAACTAAACATCGGTAATGGTACTGGTATTGGTACATTAACACCTACTTGTCCTGCTTCTATTCTATTGATAAAGCTACGGGCTGTCGCTCCATTTGTTGTAAAAACAGCTGTGCCATTACCATAAGGACTGTCATTTATTATTTTTATAGCTTCATCAAGAGTATCAGCGAACATACATGACAAAACTGGTCCGAAGATTTCTTCAGTGTAGCATTTCATGTTCGACTAAAATACAAAGCGTTAGTAGGAGATTAGTATTGATGAATAATAGGAAAACTTTACAAATTTTTTATAAATGTCAAAATGAGTCTTTGAATTTTTAAAGGTCAAAAAACGCAATATTATTTTAAATATTAGTTTCTATAACAAAAAAAAAAAATTTATCATACTAGTCATGAAATATTAATTTGGTGCTAGATAATTATAGTAAATTAATTTACATTTTTTCTGATACTAAATATTAAATAAATATAAAAAACTAGCAACTTTGCAGTCACTATGTGACTGCCGTGACTTTTGAACTATGAATAAATGAAATTTTGCTTTGTTAATTAATGAATTGTTAAATTGTACTGTAGTTTCTTAAATATTGATGTTTTTGAAGATATAAGCTCATCCTGATGTTACACTCATCAAGAGCTTTCATTTGAGTACCCACATGCATTTTTGATATATTTTATATATTTATATATTTTACAAATACCATATATATAAAATATATAAAAAATGCCATGTGGGTACTCAAATGAAAGGTCTCGATGAGTGTAATACCGGGATGAGCTTGTATCCTTAAAAATGTCAATAGTTTACAAGATACAAGGTCATTTCTTAACTATTAATATTTTTAAAGATATAAGCTCATCCCGATGTTACACTCATCAAGAGCTTTCATTTGAGTACCCCTTTCATTTGAGTACCCACATGTATTTTGATATATTTTTCATATATTCATATATGTAATATATATAAATATATGAAAAATTGATGTGGGTACTCAAATGAAAGGTCTCGATGAGTGTAATACCGGGATGAGCTTGTATCCTTAAAAATGTCAATAGTTTACAAGATACAAGGTCATTTCTTAACTATTAATATTTTTAAAGATATAAGCTCATCCCGATGTTACATACATCAAGACCTTTCATTTGAGTACCCACATGGCATTTTTTATATATTTTATATATATGGTATTTGTAAAATATATAAATATATAAAATATATGAAAAATTGATGTGGGTACTCAATTGAAAGGTCTCGATGAGTGAAACATCGAGATGAGCTTATATCTTTAAAAATGTCAATAGTTCACAAAATACAAGGTCATTTCTTAATTATGTAACTAAAGATAAAGCATTTTCGAATGCAGCCTAAATACTTATTATAATAAATTGACTATCTGTTCGAATGATACGATACCTTGAAAATTCACAAATTCAAATTAAGACCTTTTCAATGACTCTAAATTTAACTGATAAAACTGATTTTACCATATGACTATCCGGAACACAAAATGTTTTTTATTCTTTTAATAATATAGATTATTTATTTATATACCCTACCAATTTGCGTTAAATAAATAAATATTTTAATTAAATTCAGAATTTAGAATACTAATTATAAAATTACCTTAACACCAGAAAGCACAGTTGGCCCGACGAAATTACCATTTTCATAGCCAGGAACAACAATCCCTCGACCATCAAGATCCAGCTTAGCTCCTTCTTTAACACCCAACTCAATTAAACTGTGAATGCGTTCTTTCGACTGTGGAGAGATAACAGGGCCCAAGTCAGCATCAGGAACATGCCCAGCATTGACTTTCAATTGTTTGGCAGCTGCCACAAGATCTGGGATCCACTCGCGAGCTTTTCCTACGAAGACAGCCACGGACAGAGCCATACAGCGCTGACCAGCAGCTCCAAAGGCTGCACCGACTATCTGGGATACTGTTTTATTCTTGTTAGCATCAGGCATCACAATGCAGTGGTTCTTGGCGGCCATATTACACTGGACGCGTTTACCGTGAGCGCTGCTTTGCTTGTAAATATATTTTCCAGCCTGGTCTGAGCCTACAAAAGAAACTGCACGGATGTCTGGGTGCTCGCAGATGAAATCTACTGCTGCATGCTGCCCATGGATAATGTTTAATAAGCCTGGAGGCGCTCCGGCTTTGGTGAACAACTCGGCGAGGATCATCGATGCTCCAGGGACTCTTTCAGAGGGTTTTAGGATTGCGGCGTTACCACAAGCTACTGAGACTGGGAATGACCACAGGGGAATCATTGCTGGGAAGTTGAACGGACAAATTGAGGCTGTTACTCCTAGAGGTATTTTGTAGGATATTATGTCCATATCTTTCGCAACGTTTGGAGTTGATTCACCCATCTGGAGGGTTGGAATCGCTGCGCAGGCATCTACCACCTCTGAAAATGAAATTTTTAGTTAATATTAACAAATATTTCAGTAAGAAAAATTTTGTGACGAGCATATTAAAATTTTTATCGTTAAATTTGGAATCATCAAAAAGGTCTTGTCTTAAATTTCGTTCCGTCACATTTCGGCTGCCCAATTTCAAAACACAGTAACTAACATTTAGAAATTAAAAAAAATTTTTCTTATTCAATTAAAATAAGTTTGCCTTATGAATATGAATTTACTATTTAATTTTTTTTGATTATCTTGTCAACACAAAAATAATTTAAGAATAATTACTCTGTAAAGATTATTAACCCTGTTAATGGCTACGGCTGTTGGGTTTAGTTGTTTGTTTGTAAATAAATAAATAAATAAATAAACATCAAGAAATCATTAAGCAAAAAATTTCTTATTCATAATCCGTAAATCTCTACAGTCACAAAGTGATTGTAGGTTGCTAGTTAAAATTATAATGAATGTAAAAAGATGGAGAAAGTATCTAGTATTTATTTATACTAGGTCGGATTATTTTTTGATATTAAAGATGTATTTATTTTTATAATTCTATTAATAAATATTTTTCTACTTTATACTTACGTAAACCACGAAGAACATCTCCTTCGGCATCAGCCATCGTTTTACCATTTTCTTTTACCAAATTAGCAGCTATCTCTTTCTGAAATTTCATTTTTAATGTTAGTAACAATAATGATAAGCGAGTAATTGTTTATAATCATAACACTAAAATTAGCCAACATCTGAAGACTTCTAGAATTTTTTTTTAAATTTTATTTAAAGATGTGTCAAAAAATGGTTGTAATTTTTTTTTCAAATGTTTTCTTGCTAGAAATTTAATTGTTGTGAAAATCCAAAAAATATCAGATGTTTGCTAGATATTTATTTAATATTTAGTACCGAATGTTCACGAATTAGAGCTTGATATTTAAGCATAAGTGTTTGTCGCGTTAAAACACTGGTGTCTCGCCATTTTTCATAAGCATTTTTAGCGCTTGTTACAGCACTCTCCATCTCAGCTTTTGTCGACTTAGGAGTACGACACAGTAATTTATTCGTTGCTGGGTCATGTACATCAATAAATTCCGTACTTTTAGACTCTATTAAAATAAAGACCATTATTTATGATTAAAATTAAAAATCAGTTGATGTTTAATTCAAGAAATTAATTAAATAAAATTTTTTATCGATTATGAAAAATAGTTACCAACGAATTTGCCATCTATGAACATTTTAACAGTTGGAACAGCGCTGCTGAACGATCTTTTTATCATATTCATCTGCAAAAAAAATTAAGCTCATTAATTATTTCAATTGATAGCCGACTGATAAAATTAATTCGCGATTATTTTTTTTTTTTTTAAATGTACAATTGATTTTTATATTTTTCAATATATTTTATATATTATGTAATGTAGCTTTTATGATACCAGCATGATGATACTTTAAATTGTAATTTAATCTATTTTATTAGCTTTCAAGGACGAATTATTAAAATGTTGACAATATTAAATTAACATATATAAATAAGATTATCGTATGATTTTGAAATTTATATCTTTATGTTACTATAAATAATAAAATAAATTTTTTTATTAATATATTGTTATAAATAATTAATAAAAAAAATTATTATTAATTTTAAATGAGTAGATAGAATTGTTAGTAACATATTTCTTCATATTTTTAAAAAATTAAAAAATTAGGACAAAAATTTTAAAGAATGAATGAAAAATATAAATAAATGTCAAATTATTTGTAAATAAAAATATATATAATCTATTTATAAAATAATAAACATAAATACCTCGTAGGTTCGTGCGAGTAAAGCCATGATGAGTTTATTTTATGATAATACTTCCTGAACAGCTTACTGAAGAATATCAGCGCAATATTTGATAGCATACTGGTGAACTGTAACTCGTTTAGCTCGTTTATCTTATTAAAAAACAAGCAATACATATAATATGATAATCATCATAACAATCACACAAAAAAAATTAAAGACTTTTGACACTGACCGATTATTGATAATTTTATTGTCTGTATTATCACCAATCTTCACCGATAAAAATATAAAAAGAAAAATAATATTAATGATGATTGATTAATCAATAATTAAAAATGTAACAATAACAATGTAAATAATAACAACTGTCAATTTTTTTAATTTTATAACATTGATTACTATTAAAAAATTCCACTAACAATTTTTTTTAATTTTTACATGTGGAATTTTTTTTTATAATAATTTTATTGTTATAAAATTATAAACAAATTTTTAATGTCAATTAACTTCAGTGCCTTATACCTATATAAATATATTTATTGGTAATTACGAGTCCCAATTTATAATTAAAATTTCTCCTAGAAAACTCAATCAATTATTTCAATTTTTTATTATTATCTTCAAGTTTGTATATTATATATTACAAAGATTGTATTAAAAATAATAGCTGTCATATTTATTGTTTATTTACAACAATTTAAATTAAATCCTGTCAAATTTGTTGTAAAAAATTGAATTTTTAATTTTTTTAAATTTCTACGTCAATTTTTTTATTCTAATTTTCTTTTGCACTAATTTATTTTTTAAAAAATTCTAAAAATTATTAAATATATGTTTTTCATGTCAGAGTAAGTGTGAATCTCCTCCATTTTTAATTTAGTAAATGTAGAGGGCGCACAAAAAAGCGCGCAAAATTTCAAAAATTAATTTCTTCATTCTTTACTAAATAAATATTTTGAAACAGTAATTTTTTTACATAAAATTTTTTCTAATTAAATAAATAAAATAATTTAAACCTATTTAATAAAATAAAATTCAAATTTTAATATTAAAAAAGGTTTCCAAATTTTATTTTCAAGGCTTTGGTCCCCGAGCTGCGGAAGACAAGCCTGGCGAAAGAAGACTACTGCGCACGCGCCATTTTAAATGGACCAATAGAGAAACAGAAGCAAAATGAACTGCGCTTGCGCGGTTTTAAGACAGCCAATAGAAAAAAAGTAGTTAGTGAGGTGGGATAAAATTTAGCAAGCCGAGGGTTTTATCGTGAAGCATTACAGCGTCGGTGCATTTAGCATTTGTCGTTGATCCCGGTTACTCGACGCCCGTGTGAGCGCTGTTGCTAACCTATTGACCGTATCTGTTGTGAAGACACTGTGCCAGTGGCTGTCTGTTGGTAGGAGACCCAAAGGCTCACCCGAGTAGATATAGATCAAAGTAAAGACGCTACTACTGAGTGAGAACCCACCAGTGGCGGAGGTACTCAACATTTTCGTCTAAAAATTAAAGCAAGATACCAATCATTTATTACGGTGAGTGACAAAGACACACTATCATAAATTTCCAGGGCTGTAGCACATGATATTGATATAAGTAATTTAATTTTTTTTATTCGAGCTACTTCCGCTCTTTGCAATAATAATAATCTGTCAAATAATTTTATTTTATTTATTTTGATGATTATTTTTTGATAAAAAACAGAGATTTTATTATTAAAAATATTTTTTTCAGTTTCGCAGGGAAAGATGGCGGATATTCAGGTGACGACAGTCAGCCAAGATGCTCTGTCTGTTGGACAATTGGAGCTAGGGGGTAATCCAAATGCCTTATCACTACGTAGGCCGTTTGATCCAGTGGCACATGATCTTGAGCCTACTTTCCGCTTAACGCGGTTCGCGGACCTAAAAGGATGAGGGTGTAAAGTCCCTCAGGAAGTTCTTGGTAAACTTCTCGAGGGACTACAGGCCGACGACAGTAGTGTTCAGGATCATGAACATGCTCACTTTATGCACATGGCTATTCCACGTATTGGTAAGTTCAAAAAATTGATAATAATTAATCAATTATTGATGATCAATTAATATCAATATTATTTTAATTATTTGTTGGTAATTTATACATGTTCTGAGAAATTTTGGCGCGGCGTCATTGACCATGTGCTACCGGCAATTTTATTTTTTTTTTTATTCTGTTACTAATAGAGCCATTTAATTTTTAGGAAATACAATTGATTATTGTGGATAGGAATAATTTGGGGGTTTGTTGTTGCTAGTTAGTGTTAATAGAAAAATAGTAGAGTAGTAGAGTAGTTATTTTAATCGCCGCCATTGTTGGACGCCTAGCGTGGTTCATTGTTCCTTAAGTTCAGGGCCCGGGATTATTTTTACGGTACTTAAAAATATGGCTGCCACGTTGGCGCCCGACTAGAGGTTCTCAACTTTATTTTACGCGGGAAATTTAAATTTTTTGTTTTTATTTATGGAAATTAAGTTAGCCGATAACTAAAAATTTTTATTAAAAAAAATAGTTACAAAAAAATAAAATAAAATACATTTGTAAAAAACTTGAAAAACTTTGAGTTCAATTTTTAAAAAATATTTTTTTGTTCAAATATAGTAAATGAAAAAAAAAATTAGAAAAGTCAGAAATCTTTAGTATTATATTATCCTGTTAATACAGTAGAGTACTTTTTATTTATTGAGTATTCTAAAGAAATACAGGTAAATTAAAAGGAATCATTTTTTTATTAATAATTATTTTTAAAAATAATTATTACCAGATGGTTCCTACATTTTTTGATGAATTTAATTTTAATAAAGCTAGCCGATATTTTTAGTTTTTTGATTTTGCTTAGTTTAATAAATTATAACTAAAAAATATTTTTAAAAAAATTGCACTTATAGTTTTTGAATTTTATACAATTAAAAAATTTTTTGGAATAATTTTTTTAATTATAAAAATTTTTAGATGTCGGCTACCTTTATTTTCATTGAATTTATCATACTAAAATTATCAGACAAAAAAATTTTTAGCTTTTTTTAAATAATTTAATTAAAAACAAAAAAGTATTTTAAAAAATTTCCCCTTATAATTCTTCAAATTTCCTACATGTGAAACTTATTTATCATAAATATAATAGTTATTAATTATTTATATTTTTTTCAGGAATTGGCATGGATTCCTCCGTAACTCCATTAAGACACAGTGGCCTTAGCTTGGTGCAAACGACAGATTTCTTCTACCCACTAGTCGACGATCCATATATGATGGGTAAGAGTATCGCGGGGAGTATACTCTTTAATTAAACTTTCCAACAATTATTTTCATTTTTTTTTTTTTAACAATTTCATTCAGGTAAAATTGCATGCGCGAATGTACTGAGCGACTTGTACGCGATGGGAGTTACTGAGTGTGATAATATGCTGATGCTGCTTGGAGTGAGCACCAAAATGACTGAGAAAGAGCGAGATGTCGTGGTACCTTTAATCATGAGAGGATTCAAAGACTCTGCCCTGGAGGCTGGTACCACCGTCACTGGAGGTCAAACTGTTGTCAATCCTTGGTGTACTATTGGAGGAGTTGCTTCTACTGTTTGTCAGCCCAACGAATACATTGTGTATGTATTTTTTTATCAAATAATAATTAATAAGTATTCAATAATAAAAAAATATCCTGTAAATACAGTAGGGTACTTTAAATTAATTGAGTATTCTAAAGAAATTCAGGTAGATTAAAGGAATTGTTTTTTTTTAATAATTATTTTTGTAAATAATTATTATCAGATAATTCCAACATTTTTAATTACATAATTTCTTATTATTAATATTTTTTAATATTAATTTTTTTTTAATTATTTCTTTAGACCAGACAATGCGGTTGTTGGTGACGTTCTTGTTTTAACAAAACCTCTGGGTACCCAAGTAGCAGTTAATGCTCATCAATGGTTAGACCAGCCAGATCGTTGGAACAGAATAAAATTAGTTGTCAGTGAAGATGATGTACGAAAAGCCTATCAACGAGCGATGGACAGTATGGCCAGATTAAACAGAATAGGTATTTAAATTATTCATTCTCTTAATTAAAACTAGGCTATAATAATAGTAATTTTTGAAATTTTATTTTTCTAATTATTTTATTAAAAATTTTTTAATCAACTATTATGAAGCTTTTGCAATAGCTCATCGTATTTTATTTTTTGAAGCTTTATTTTTTTTTTTAAGTTTATTCTGGACGTCATTAACATTTATTAATTAAAATTATTAAAACTAGCATCCTTGCAGTCACTACGTGACTGCTGTGACTTGTGAAATATAAATAAATAAACTTATGCTTGATTAAATAATGACTTTTGTAAAATTGCACTGTGCTTTCTTAAATATTGATGTTTTTAAAGAAATAAACTCATCCCGATGTTACACTCATCAAAAGCTATCATTTGAGTACCCACATGCATTTTGATATATTTTTCATATATATATTATATATAATATATAATATATATAAATATATAAAATATATGAAAAATTGATGTGGGTACTCAAATGAAAGGTCTTGACGAGTGTAACATCGGGATGAGCTTACATCTTTGAAAATATCAGTAGTTGAGAAGATACAAGGCTATTTCTTAATTATTGACATTTTTAAAGATATAAGTTCACTCCAACATTACACTCATCAAGACCTTTCATTTGAGTACCCACATGCATTTTGATAAATTTTTCATATATACATATATGAAATATATGAAAAATTGATGTGGGTACTCAAATGAAAGGTCTCGATAAGTGTAACATCGGGTTGAGCTTATATCTTTAAAAATGTCAATAGTTTACAGGATACAAGGTCATTTCTTAATTGTATCTAAAGATAAAGCATTTTCGAATGAAACCTATATACTTATCATAATATCATGATACTTATCTTAATAATATAGATTATTAAAATTATTAATTTATTAATTAAAATTAATTCATTTAATTTCTTCAGCTGCCCGTCTGATGCACAAATACAATGCTCACGGAGCAACAGATGTAACAGGTTTTGGCTTGCTCGGCCACGCGCAGAATTTAGCCAAACACCAGAAAAACGAAGTGTCCTTTGTAATTCACAACTTACCAGTGATTGCTAAAATGGCAGCCGTCGCAAAGGCTTGCGGTAACATGTTCCAGTTACTTCAAGGACACTCTGCAGAGACCAGCGGAGGACTTTTGATCTGCTTACCCCGAGAACAAGCAGCTGCTTACTGCAAAGACATTGAAAAGCAAGAAGGCTATCAGGCTTGGATTATTGGTATTGTTGAGAAGGGCAACCGCACAGCGAGAATAATTGACAAGCCCCGAGTTATCGAGGTTCCAGCCAAGGAAAAGGATGGAGAACTTTGGTAGACTTTTCACCAGTGCCACATCATCATCATCATCATCATCATCATTAATCATCATTCTCATCTAATAAATATCAAGCTTTGTGTTTGTTATTAATTATTAATTAGTGTCAGATAATTACGTTTTAAATTGAGCTTTTTTTCGTTTGCTTAAAAATTGTATTTAGTTTAAATATTTTTTTTTAAGGAACCAATTTATAAATATTTTTTATGCAAAGTTGGTTAATTTTTCTCCAAAATTCTAAATCAAAATAATTAAAGCTAAAAGCAATTTAAAATTAGAGAATATTTTTTAATCAAACCAGTTAACTTTTTTTTTTCTACAAATAAGAACATTTATTATAAATATAAATATATAAATATATTTTAATGAAGAGTTATAGTTTCTAAATCGTAACAAATAAATCTTGAATTTTGAAAAATTCAAATAATCGCTCACGCAATGTTACTTTTTAAATAAATAAATAAATATAATAGCTTAAAGATCACTATTGAAATAAAAAACAAGGCCTAGGCCATTATAAAAATGTATTAACTTTTCATACTGAATAAAATGCTAATTTGTCAATAAAATAATGTGTAATTTTTGAAAAAAAAATTTTTTTATAGATATTCTGAGTAAATATTTTGAGAATTGAAGTTTATTTTACCGGAAAATTTTGTAAAAAATTAAATAATTAATTAAAAAATTTTTTAGATACGTTAGTGTTTTCTTATTTTTATACTTATAAAATATAAAAATTTATATCTATATTATTAAGAGAATAAGCAAAATTTTGTTGCCAGTGTATTTATATGATAAAATGGGGTTTAATGGTTAAATTTGATATCGTTGAAAAAGTCGACCTGGATTTGTGCTTTTTCAAGGTTTCATATCATTCGAACAGATAGTCAATTTATTATGATAAGTATTTAGGCTGCATTCGAAAATGCTTTATCTCTAGATACATGATTAAGAAATGACCTTGTATCTTGTGAACTATTGACATTTATGAAGATATAAGCTCATCCCGACATTACACACATCAAGACTTTTCATTTGAGTACCCATATCAATTTTTCATATATTTATATATATTAAATATATGTATATATGAAAAATATATCAAAAATGCATGTGAGTACTCAAATGAAAGCTCTTGATGAGTGTAACATCAGGATGAGCTTATATCTTCAAAAACGTCAATTGTTAAGAAAGTACAGTGCAATTTAACATAAATAAGAAATTACCTTGTATCTTGTGAACTATTGACATTTATGAAGATATAAGCTCATCCCGACATTACTCTCATCGAGACCTTTCATTTGAGTACCCACATCAATTTTTAATATATTTATATATGTCATATATGAAAAATATATCAAAAATGCATGTGGGTACTCAAATGAAAGCTCTTGATGAGTGTAACATCAGGATGAGCTTATATCTTTAAAAATGTCAATATTTAAGAAAATACAGTGGAATTTAACGAAAGCCATTATTTAATAAAGCAAACTTTTATTTATAGTTCACAAGTCACATAGTGAATGTAAGGTTGCTAGTTATACTAAAATTAAGTCAATTTTTTGGATTTGTATACCTAAATTATTATAAAAAAAATTTACAAGTGCAAATTTTTTTTAGATTGTCATCAAAATCAAAAAAACTGTCAGAAGTCAGCTGATTTCAGCATCATAAATTCATATGAAATTACTAAATGAAATTTCATGATTTCTTTACTTATTCCTCAAGATATTATTAACTAATCTTGATAAAAAAAAAAAAAAGTAAATTATAGTAAAAGTCATAAGTCAAGAATAATTAGAGTGGCTCAAGAGTACAGTGAGTTTGCGTCATACAAGTAAACTATATGTATAAGTAGTTGATACATAAATGAAATAGTATCAAAAGACCCGCATAACATTTAATTTCAATATCAACAATTGCACCAAGTATTTATCTTTAGGTCGAAGGTCACAAAGTAAACTGCAACTAAAATTTAAGTGTAAAGTACACAACGCACATATAATAAGCTCATAATATAACACTACACTTAACTATTAAACTACTGAAGCAGTATTACCTGTCAGTCCTTCGATAGAGACTACTGCCAGCAATGCATCATCGTGCCGGTTAAATTAAATTACTGTTTACTTTTTTATTCTTCTAATCAAAAATCAAAACAAGGTAAGCTAATAAGATAATTTAATTTAAAAATATTATCAATGCAATTAAAATTACCTTTTAAATAAAAGATTTAAATTTAAGTCCCCAGAATGAAAGCATGGATTTTTTTACTAACTTTTGCTATTTTTCTAGACTGGAATAACCAAGAAAATAAAATGGTACATTTTTCTAACATTCTCAAGGCCGCTGCTTTTCGCACTGTCATAATCGGAGCACCAGGGTCGGGCAAAGGCACGGTGTCGTCTAGGATTGTTAAGACTTTTGGGGTTAGTCACATATCTACTGGAGACAAACTTAGGGACCACGTGACACGTGCTACTGGTAGGTGTTTTGTAATTTTTATTCAAGTATTGACCTAGTCAATTTTTATGAATATTCATTATCTTATTATTATATAAGTACTGATTTTTTTTATCGTTTTTAGACTTAGGTAAACAAGCCTCCAAGTTTATGAATGAAGGAAGTCTGGTACCTGATGAATTAATTATCGATCTTGTTGCGCATGAAATTAGTGCTATCAGTGGTGCTAATTATTTATTAGATGGTAAATATTTCTTCTTTTTTTTTTTTTATGATAAAGATAATTTTTAATTATCATAAAAAATTTTAATTATGCTATCATAAAATTTAAAAATGTCAAAAAAAATTCTTAAATTTTTTTTTACTCATTAATAATGACTAATTATTAATTAGATATCAAATATTTCTTCATTTCTTCTTTTTTTTTTATATATTAAATATCTAAAATTTTTAGTTACTATAAAAAATTTTAATTATGTTAAAATTAAATCAACAAATGTCAAAAAATTCTTAAATTTTTTTTGACAGGTAATTTATTTTTTTTTAATTTATTATTAATTGCTAATTATTTATTAGACGGTAAATATTTCTTCATTTTATCTTTTTTTTTTGATTGAAGGTGTATTATTTTTAATTATTGAAAAAAAAATTTTAACTATGCAAATATGAAATTAGTAAATGCCAAAAAAAATTGTTCTTTTTTTTGACAGGTTAAACTTTTTTTTTCTATTTATTAATAATGATTAATTATTAATTAGATGTCAAATATTTCTTCTTTTTTTTTTCAAGATAGTTTTTAATTACTATAAAAAATTTTAATTATATTAAAATTAAATTAACAAATGGCAAAAAAATTGAAAAATTATTTTTTTTTTAATTATCATCATTTACTAATTATTTACTAAATGGTAAATATTTCTTCATTCCTTCTTTTTTTTATTCTAAATAAGTAAAATTGTTAATTATTTAAAAAAATTTTAATTATATTAAAATTAAATTAGAAATTGTCAAAAAAATTCTTTTTGACAAGTGAATTAATTTCTAAATTAATTATTAATTACTCATTATTTTTTTTAAGGATTTCCAAGGACAATAGAACAAGCAAAAAAATTACAAGAAAAATTTCCAGTTAATTTAGTATTAAATTTGATAGTACCTCATGAAGTAATAATTGAACGAGTACGAAATAGATGGGTACATCTACCCAGCGGACGTGTTTACAATATTGGTTTTAATGATCCTACAGTACCGGTAATTAAATTATCACATCTCTTTAAAATGATAATAAACAATATTTTTTTTATTTATTTATTTACAGGGAAAGGATGATGTTACCGGAGAACCCTTGAGCCAAAGAATCGACGACCGACCAGAAGTCGTTGCTAAAAGGCTCGAAAATTATGTACTGAAAACCGAGCCAGTTATTAATTATTATAAGACATTAGGTATCGTGGGAGATTTCAAAGGAAACACGACTAACGAAATTTGGCCTAAGATTAAAGAACACATAGATAAATTTATTTCTTCTAAATAATTAATTTTCTATTATAAAAAATTAATGTAGATTGCTGTATGTACAATTACGTACCAATTTACAGTCACTTTGTTAGGATACTTACCACTTTAGTCAGGATACAATAAGACATCGAATATTAGTACAAGTTAATTAATAGATTTAATTAGACTATTAATGATAATTATTATTATTATTTTCATTAATTATTCATTTTAATTCACGGGTTTAAATTTTTAATCAAATTTAATTAATTTTGCAATTTTTTATGACATAATTTTTATTTAATTAATATCAGACAAAATGAAAATATTTTTTTAAAACCAAAAAAAAAAAGTGAATTGTTACCAAACATGTACAAATAATTTTTTATATGTACCAAAAAAAAAAATTGTTACGCACAATAAATGATGACTGTAATAATTTTTTTAATGAATCAGTTTATTAATTAATTAAGTTTGCATAAATTTTACTTAATTATTTAACAGTTATGTTTATATCTGCAGTACGAATTAGTCCACAAATAATATTAAAAAAAAAAAAATAGAAATAAGAAATAGTAATATTCTATAATGACAATAAATAAACTTAGATTATTAAGTGTGTAACTTAAAATCAATAAATATTTACAAGAAAAAAAAAATTTTTTATAAATCCCAACGGAATGTTAAAATATGAAAATTTAAAAAAATTAATAATTAAAAATCACATTTATGGTTTTTTTTTTTTTAGAAAAGATTCTAAAAATTTCAAATTGATTTTCAATTAATCTAATCATGGATAACGCTCGCCACAATTTGTTACAACAATTTATTTTAAATGAAATGCTGAAAATTATAAAACGAGATCGTAGAAAGCATTTAAATTATTTCCGGACGATCTATATTAGAAATTTAAGTACATTAGTTAATATAAATTATTATTATTATTATTTTAAATAATTAATAATTCATTTTAATGACTAACTACCTAAAAAAATAAACTTAACTGAGGAGTAATGATTGATCACTAAAGAACTTCAAATTCTTCGCATTCGTAGGGCAATTCATCGGTAGGAAATTGGTCGGGACTTACATTTGCAGTAGCCATCATATCTTCGGTGACTTCATACCCACGTCTTATTTCATCTCCGCTTCCTTCACAGAATAAGAACATCGGGTAGTCGACCTTCTGATTTGAAGGCACTAGAGACTGCAGTAAATTTTAATAATTAGCAATAATAAATAATAAAAAAAAATTTAATAAAAATAGAACTTACTCTCTCGATGGTCAAAACAAACTTATCAAAAGCCTGTTTATCTGAAAAATAAAATCCCACGCAGCAACTAGGGTCCATTTTTGAGAGTAACATTTTTCTTGGGGATGAACAATGAAAACTGGCAAGAGGAAAATTATCTTTCCAAACATCAACAGCTTCTTGACAATAATGAGGGTCTAGGTGGATAAGTTTGTCCTCCTGGTAGCCTATGAAGTATAATGAGTGCTTAGGACGACCCCCAATTACTCCAATGCAAACGTCCAGTTGCAAGAGCGCCGTTAAACATGGCGCGTAATTAGGGTTTAATTTATCAGCGCCTAGTCGTAAAGGTACTAATAGGACTAATGATCTCCAACTACCGTCAGGTTTCTCACAAGCTTTTCTTACATCTTCTAAATAAACTGAAATAACATATAAATATTTGGTAAAGATAGAAATTTTATTAAGAGTTAAACACGCTTAGAGAACTATAAAAAAAATTTATTTTTATATTTTTTTTAATTGAGTTTATTTATTTAATAAATAAATAAAATTTTGCTTTATTAAATAATGAATTTTGTTAAATTGCATTGTAATTTCTTAACTATTGACATTTTTAAAGATATAAGCTCATCCTGATGTTACACTCATCAAGAGCTTTCATTTGAGTACCTACATGCATTTTTGATATATTTTTCATATAATATAATATATATAAATATATGAAAAATTGATGTGGGTACTCCAATGAAAAGTCTTGATGAGTGTAACATTGGGATGAGCTTATATTATATCTTCAACAATATCAATAGTTCACAAGATACAAGGTAATTTCTTGATTGTTAAATTCCACTGTACTTTTTTAAATATTGACATTTTTAAAGATATAAGCTTATCCCGATGTTACACTCATCAAGAGCTTTCATTTGAGTACCCACATGCCTTTTTCATATATTTATATATATTATATATACTATATATATGTATATATGAAAAATATATCAAAAATGCATGTGGGTAGTCAAATGAAAGGTCTCGATGAGTGTAACATCAAGATGAGCTTATATCTTTAAAAATGTCAATAATTTACAAGATACAAGGTCATTTAATACGATTATCCTAGAGATAAATTTCTTATTTTCTTAATAATATAGATTAAAGGCCAAAATTTTTATTAAAAATTAAAAAATATAAATTTTAATAATTTTTTTGATAAATTATTGAATATCTTATATTCACGAATTTTTTTTTTCAATTTTTATAATTTTTGCTCACAAGTAATTTTTTTTTTTTAGAGAATCTTTAAAAATATTTTACAGGAACTAGAAAAATAATTATTTATAAAAAAAAATAACTTATTATTAAAATAATAAATTAAAAATGATTAAAAAATCTTTTTTTTCGACGTTCTAAGTACATATAACCCTGAAAAAAAAAAAAATTAATAATAAAAAGTACCTGCACAATCTTGTGCGACATAAATAGCCAAATTCTCAAACTGTTCATGTCTCAAAGCCGCATCTTTGACAGCCTGACTAAGTAAATGAGCAACAGAAGCCGGGCCATACCAATCTCCAGCCCTTTTTCCCGCGGACGCTCCGAATTTAACTAAAGTATGAATAGACAACGGAGTTTGCTCCGTAGGCTGGTCTCCAAACCACTTAATAATCATACGATGAGTAGCTTCATCTTGCAAACACATTTCATCCTTCTGGTCCGGCCTCCATCTCCAATCTATTAATAATATATTTATTTAAAATAATCCAAATAAATAACAAGCCTTATTATTATCATTATTATTATTATAATCAAGAATACTAATACCTCTGCCAAGAAAATGACAAACTAATGCTTGAGCGAGCATCATCTGTCCACTCCTCAGCATACAGCCCCACCCGCAATCAGTCGTATAAGTAGAGCCATTTAAAATAGGAAATTCTTTCCGGTAAGTCAGCCATAACCGTGACACAAAGTCGCGTTTGAACCCGTCCATTCCCTCGTCCATTATTGTCGCATCTTCTGCCAAAGATTCGTCCTCACTCGAGTCCGGGTCCAAGCCAGCTTCCGAGGCTTTGTCCAGTGACAGAGCTTCCTCTGGCTTTTTGTAGTAACAGGAGCCTAGTAGCCATACTGGTGATTCTTTGGAAAAATTTGTTTTTATTTTTGATGCCCATCCTGTAAATAAATATTAATTTATTATTTAATTAGCAATCTGCAGTCACTATGTGATTTTTTTAATGAAAATTAAGTTAGCTGATATATAAAAATTTTTAGAATTTTTTTTTTATTGAAAAAATGATTACAAAAAAATTAAAAAAAAAAAATTTAACTTGTAAAAAACTTCAAAAACTGTAAGTGCAATTTTTAAAAAATATTTTTTTGTTCTAATTTAATTATTAAAAATTAATAACGTCAGCTAACTTTAGTATCATGATTTTTTTATATTTATAATCACGCTGTACATAGTCAGGGTAATTTTGTAAAAAATTTTGAAAATAATAGTGCTGTCACAGGATCAATTACAAATAATTTAATGGACAAATGTGACGGAACAAATTTATAGAACCAACAAACTATTCAAAACCGCTCCAAAAACTTAACATAAAAAATTGACTACTGAAAAATATATGAAACCAAAAGGCACTAATTTTTGTCAAGACCTTTTTGATGAAACCAAATTTAACTATAAAAATTTCTTTAAAAATAATAATATGCTCGTCACAAAATTTTTTTTACTCTCTCAATTATTTAAATCATAAATTACTATTGCTAAAAAAATATCAAACCCAATTCACGATAAAGATATATATAACCCCGTTAAAAAATTTTTATTAGTCTCTTAATTACAGTCGAGTCTCGTTATGAGTCCTATTAGTTTCTTTATCATATTAACGCGTGTCTGGTTAAAAGAAAAAGACAACAAGCCGGACTCATAACGCGACTCGACTGTATATAAATTAATTTTTGACATATACCCATATTTACATTTACAAAACAAAATAAATAAAAAAACAAATTTTGTTTATCGGAAAGTTCAAATCTATTTATAACTCCTTGAAAAATTTATCATAATAAATTAACTATTTCTGAAAAGTATATGAAATTTTTTTAATAAATTAAAAAAATAAGAGTGAACGGAACAAATTTATAGAACAAACTATTCAAAACTGCTCCAAAAACTTAACATAAAAAATTGACCACTAATTGTTATCAAGACCTTTAATTTAATTTAAAAAACTAGAGACAAAATTTTTCTTATTCTCTTAATTAAATAGATTATTTTTACTAAAAATTAAAAGAAAAATAATTAATTAGCAAAAAAAAATAACAAATAATAAAAAATAATAGACTTGTTTTTTTTTTTTTTAATGAATGCTCACACAAACCGTATTTAACATTATTCCACATGGTGAGAAGCTTAGTCTTGACCTTGTTATCAACTTCTGTCGCCAAAACAGTCTCGTGAAGCTGGTGCTGGTGAGTCTCTTCGGTGACATGAAGAATATCTGGCATTCCAGCGATTTGCTCAGGAGGGATCAAGCTTGCAAACCAATTGGTCGTACTGGTGCCTAAGCCAGCTGAGAAAAATAGAAAAAAAATATTTAATAATTAGATTGTCACTTTTATATTAAATATATATTGTCACTCGATGAAAAGTGTAACGCGACTGACATCTAGAGGTAGGTCTTCAGTCATCAGCAATATTAATACTGATGACGATGAAAAATTTCGGATAATTCTAAACAATAAACAATACCAAAGAATTGCAGCCAGCTGACGTGTCATCTAGGTCATACCAGCAAGTGTTTTTTTATAAATAAATTCATAAGCTCACTGGCAGGGACTTTTAAATGTGAATTATTGATAAACCTAGGCTAGGTGTAAAATTATAAGAAATTATTTTAATTTTTAATCAGATTGTTTAAATTAAGTTACTTACTTAACCTTTCTCGAGGCGACTTGACTTGCCCATTCATACTTGACAGGCGGAATATTAGGCTTGTTGAAGTGCATAAATGTTCAATATTTTTTAATTTAAAATTATAAATAATAATTTTTTTAAATTGAGTTTTTGTGACGGATATGTCTTGCAGGTTAGACAAGTTCACATTTTAATGCTTGAAGATATAATCACTATGCTGAATTTATGTGGGAGATGATACCGAGTTTGTTTTATAGTTTATATTTAGGTTTTGTTTAAATTCTTTTACAAATAAAGATTATTTGCAAAGATAAATTGATTATCATGTACCACACATTACATTGACACTTACTGACGTTCTCACTTATATATACACTTTTTACTTTTACTTTATTTATGTTTTTTTTTTTTGACAGCGTTGTAGTTTTTATCAACTGCTGCTAAGTATATGTAATAATTATTAAAAAAAAAAAAACATGATATTAAATTTAGCTGTCACTTGACAATTTTTTTAACAAATAAATTTGTTCCAAAAAATTGCATTTTTAGTTTTTTTAAATTTCTAAGTGTCAATTTTTTTTGTAACAATTTATTTATTACAAAAATTATTAAAATCATCAACGGCCAAATTAATTTTCATAAAAAAAACTTAAAAATTTTATTAAAGACATTTATGATTTTATAAATTAATAAACTGAAATTAATGTAGACATCTGTCAATTTTTTGGATTTTAATTACAACTAAATTATTATAAAAAAATTCAACATCAAGAAATTGAAAAACTTACAAGTGCAAATGATTTTTTAATATTTTGTTTTGTAATTTATTTGTAATAAAAATAAAATAAATCTGCTGATTCAGTATCGTAATTTTTCGCTATATAATTGTTGAATTATATAAAATTAAAATATAATAAACAAAACAAATTAATTATTACAATTAATTTTATTTATTTATTTGATTTAAATGTCAAGGCAATGACCGGATGGCAAATGATACAAAATGAAAATGAAAGAGTTAGAAGTACATATTACAATTAATTATTATTACATACATATTATTACAATTTTTTCAAGAAAATTATGTAAAATAATTAGAGGATTGATTTTTTTAGCTGTTTTTGATAAATTTTGATGTCATTAAAGTTAACAGTCACTAGATAATTTTTTAATTTTATTTAATAAATAATTTTTTTTCTGAAAAATTTTATTTATAATTTTTTAAAATTTCTCCATGTTGATAATATATTTTTTTTAATTCTTTTTGCTATAATTGATGTGTTTAAAAGAATTTTTAAATTTATTAAATGTCTGCTAAATTAATTTTCATTAAATCTTGCACTCCAACTTTGAAAACATACTTGAAAAAACGAAGTTTAAAATTTACAAAATTTAAGTAAAACTTTATCAATACTTGTCTGACTGACTTTAAAATTTCTGTGAGTATGTACTTAAATATATTTATATATATATACTACAAAACAATGAAAATTAAGTTAGCTGACATCTGAAAATTTTTAGAATATATTTTTATTGAAAAAATTATTGAAAAAAAATCAAAAAATTAAAAACGTCGGCTAACTTTAGTATTATTACAAAACATACTTTAAAAAAATTACATTTTTAAAATTCTAACTTGGTAAAACTCCTTAATTTTAACGAGATCATAAAATTCCCAGATGTCTTCTCTCTTCAGCAGTTACCATAATTCATTTTTGCACGCCTCATAGCGCGAAGCGCGTGAGGTTGTGCTTTATACTCGACTCGTTAAGATCAAGCAATTTTGTGATCTTTAAATGCCTCTATCACAACCATATTACACTTATACAATGATATAAGTAGATGTACACTGAAAAAACACTTAAATTAAATCATCTGTTACTTTCTAAAATCATTTCATGTTGCTATTTTGAAAAAAAAAAAAAACGTTTTGAAAAAAATTTTACGTGGACGTCCGGATGTCACCCCATTTTGGATGTACCAACGATTACTCCCGAACAAATTGATATTTCAAGACCGGATCTTTTTTATTAGTTTAAGAATTCGATGAACTGGGTCCGTATTGCATATCAGTGGCCTAGCTTACGTATTTTTTTTTTAAATTGAATTTTTATTAAAATTTACTATGATACAACCGTACAAAGCTAAACGAACTTTCCTTATTTGACACGTGAAAACTATGGCACCACTTGATCAAGCTAGATTTTTTTGACTGCGTGCGCGCATGACAAGAAAAAAAGGCGCCGATATTTAAAAAAAAAATAAAAAATACTCTGTAAGAAATTACTTAATTATAATTTTTTTTTTTTTTTTTTAATTAATTACACAATTAATTTTTTTTTTAAAAAATGAATGAGCGCTATGAGGCGTGCACTTTTGGATTTTCCAAACTATTGCAAATCGTTGCCAGCATACAAATTTCTGACTAACTATCTCAAAAAAGCTGTCAAAATCGCCATCTGTCGCCAAACTTACAACTTCATGATAAATTCAAAATTCACAAACTGCGCACGCGCAATTTGCCAAATCGCGGTTTTTCTTCTTTAAAATTTTCTCAAAAAATCACCCTGACTGTCAAAAACTTTTTTTTTTTTCTTCCATAAAAAATTAACCCTCAAAATATTTATAACATAAAAAAATTTCTTATTTTCTACTAAAATTTCAAGAAAAACATTTCAAGGTCATAAAAACTAAAATAAGAACAAAATTAATAAATTAACTAATAATTTACCTTTGGCCTCTTGGCCTCTTGGCCTCCAGGACAAGGTTTCTTCTCAAACTATTCTTTACCTAATAATAAACAAAAAAATTTAATAAAATAAAATAATAAAATATTTTGATCAGCGCGCAAACTCCAGACAGTAGCAGTCCAGGTTATATTTCTTCTCCGTCTTATCTGGTAAATGTCACTACTTCTCTCTCTGTCTCTCTTTTATATACTGAGTATACATGCAAGTACAAGTCTCTTTCCCCCTACTAATATCTAACCTGCATGGAACATTCTATCCTATCCCACATCCCACCTTTCATTTAGTGGATATCAAGATCCCACGTGATATCCAACACAACTGAGAGAATATCCGTGTTACCGAGTTTAATGTTTTAGTTTTCAGTCAGTACACTAGTACTGAGGCTCAAACAGTATCTGACTAATACCGTAATTACAACTTATCATTAAAATACATCATAGTTAAATTATTTTTTATTTAAGTTTCACTCAATTTTTGCTCGTGATTTAGTGAAGGATTTTTTTTTATTTAAATCCAGCATTTATTAAAAAATATTTGACATTTTATTTAATAATCAAAAACTCTATAATTAATTATTAACAATTAATTAATATTAATTTTAATTCTAAAAAAACTAATGAAAAATTACGTAAAGGTTGTTTTGTGTAATGACAAATACAAAACGAGTTTGTTGATAATTGTAAAGCAAATGTGGGATCAATACCAGTAGAGATGGAAACTACGGAGACGACGTAGTCAATGTCAACAACACGTTAATATTAATATATTTTTTTTATCTTGATTTTATTTATTTGGATTTTTAACGATGGATAACGAACAGTTTTTAAATTCAGTGCTGCTTAATACTTTTATTATTAAGAAGAAACGCTGCAGAGTTTATTTTCACAAAGGAACTCTCATTTGGGAGACCGAAAGACCACCTTACAGTAAGTTTATTTATTCTTCTTTTTTATTAATATTAATAACATTGAAGTTAGCTATCAGCTGTCAAAAAAATTTTTTTTTAAAATAAATTACTAGAAAAAAGATGAAAATTAAGTTAGCCGACATTTAGACATTTTTAGAATTTTTTTTTTTTATTGAAAAAATGATTACAAAAAAATAAAAAAAAAATTTTTCACTTGTAAAAAACTTTAAAAACTGTAAGTGCAATTTTTAAAAAAATATTTTTTTGTTCTAATTTAGTTATTAAAAAACAAATCAAAAAATTAAAATCGTCGGCTAACTTTAGTATTATAAAAAAAAGGTAGCCGACATTTCAAAATTTATAGAAATTTTTTATTAAAATAATTTCAATTAAACAAAAAAAAAAATTTCACATGTAAAAAACTTGAAAAACTACAAGTGCAATTTTTTAGAAATATCTTTTTAGTTGTAATTTAATTAATAAAAAAAAATCAAAAATTTTTTTTATATTGAAGAAATGATTACAAAAAAATAAAAAATTTTAGTATTATTCAGTGTCATAAAAAAATGATTTTAAAAATTTTCACTTGTAATTTTTATTAATTTTTACATGTGGAATTTTTAATAATAATTTAATTGCTAAAAAAATTTTTAATATCTGTCAACTTCAGTGTCATTAATATTCTTCTTTAAGCAATTTATAAATATTATTGCGACCTAAAGTTATTTCTTCATTTTATTTAATTGCTCTAATATAATTATGATATGTATTGCGTGGGAGATTCTATTGTGTAGGTATTGTTTGTTATCTTTGTACGTGAAAGTTCATGTTACCGGTTCGGGTAAGTCTAGTGTGTACGTTTTTTTTTATATTACTCTTCTCTAGGAGTATTATGTCGTTAACGGTAAAAAAAAAATGGTTTTTTATTTCGTAATTAAATTTCTCTTGAAATTGGAGTAGGTAATAATTGTAATTGTAAAAAAAATATTATGATTTTTTGGATGAAGATTTTTTATGAAGAATCAAGTCAATTATTATGATTATTATTGTTATTATTTGTTGAGGTTTTAATTTAATTATTACTTTTGACGGATATTAGTCTATTAATGGGTCTGATAAAATTTATTATCACTGGGGGTTTTATTGTCACGCTAATGCGCTGTGGTCATTAAAAATTATGACCAAAAGTTAAATTTAATAAAAGGTGAAGAAATAAAGCTGTAAAAAGTTTTTTGTTCAGTTTATTGGAGTTTGCGTTTAGAAATTTTAATTAGGTGATAAAAATTCTTTTTGAGGGAAGAAAAGATATTTTTTTTATGAAGAAATTTTTAACTGTTTATATGTAGGTTAAAAAAAATATTGGAATTATTTAAAGATTTTTAAAAATAATTTATTTAGAAATTTTATTTAGGCGATAAAAAATATTTTTAGATAAATAGAATATTTTTTTTTATGAAGAAATTGTAAATAATTTGTGAAGATATGTTTAAGAATGTTAAAAAAATGACTGTAAATTATTTAAATATTTTTTTAATTAATTTACAAAGTAAACTTCATATGTCTGGTCATTTTTTGTCGGTAAATATTTACAAAAATAAAGTTATTTTTTTTTTGGGAAGTAAACTTGAAATTTTATGAGGTGATAAAATATTTTTACAATTTTACTAAGTATAAAGCTTAATATTTTTCTAAATTTTTCAAGGATAATTTTATTTTACTAAAGAAAAAATTATTTAAAAAATTTTTGATAGAAAAAAATTATTTAAAAACTTAGTTTGCTGAAAAAAAAAAAAGAAATATGTTATATAAAAACATTAATATTTATTAAATCAATATAAAAATTATTTTCCCAGACATCACGAACAAACATAAAAATATAAAAAATAAAATCTTATTGCTTTTTCACTGGGAATTAAAGATAACAAATTTAAGTCCACTAAAAATATTTTCCAATCGAAATTTATGCGCAAAAAAATAAAAGTATTTAAATCATGGCCATATTTTTTTTCCTCTGTTGTGAGTAATGGAAATGGGATAGGTGTTTAAAGGCCATGGACCTGATTTACGACCTTCAATAGCCGTGACCAATTTATTAATTCATAAAAAAAAATATAATATATAAAAATCTAAAAATACATGCCTAGTTAACTTCTACTTATTTTGCGCAAAGTTGTTAAATATTCAACAAACAGCGAAAAACCAAACAAGATATCGCAGTTACGTCGACCAGAGATTAGCCGCGATACAAAGATAAGTTTTAAAAATTATAATAAGATTTTTCAATGGAATCCCCAGAGGCTTACGTCAGTAGCGATGCAAATATTTTACTAAGCACAGCGAAGTGACGCGCAAATGTACCAACTCGTTATCACTTCCTTTGCTAGAGTATAAACATAACAAGATACACGTGGAGTGTTTTTTGTGATATGATTAATGTCCACTTACTCGCTTTATATTCTTCAATAAATATGTGTGTACAATATAATTGCGGTCTGTGGAGAAGATATCTAATTCAATTAGCAGAAACAATTTTTATTATATAGCAGGTCAAGATAAGAAACTTTGTAATGAGTTGATTTAATTACTCATTTGCATGTAATTGCTTGGAACAATGGAAGGAGTACAATTAATAAGAATTATGTAAAGATTGTAATTTGGATTTAGATTTATGTCAATACTAGCTAATTCATAATATTATTAATTTATTAATCTTTCTTCTGTTATGACTCAGTAATTAGACTTTTATTTGTAATTAAAATTTTTGCGTCTAAAAAATATTCAAATTTGAATTAATTAAGGCTAACTTTTAGAATTTTAATTAAAACTTCTTGTTAAATTTATTTGCAGAATTTGAGATTTAATTTAAAAATTTTTTAATTGGTAATTTTTAAGATTTTTTAATTAAAGAAAATCTAGTTTAGTTTTTCAATTTAATGTTTAATAATTTATTCAGTTTTTTAATCTAAAAAAATTTTATCTAAATGATTTAAAAAAAACATTTCATTATTATTTTTAAAATTAGGGACAGAAAATATTTTTTTTGATAAGGGAATTTTCTTCTTACTCAAAAATTTCTCATTTATTCTTCAAGCATTGAAGATATATCTTATAAATTTATTTTTAATGATTGTTGCATACCAATTTGTTTGTTTTTTTTTTTTATTTTCTACAAGGTTTTTAGGCCATAGAATTGATTTGGTAATTATTTTTGTAGAAAATTAGAATTTTTAAAGTTGCATTTCCGCGTTTAAAAAATAAGAGATAATAGCAAATAAATTTTCGAAAAGAATTTTTTTGACAATAGATAGTACAGAAAAAAATTATTTTTATCATGCAAATATGCATTATTTAGACGCCATAATTCAAAATTAATCCGTTGTATCGAATATTGTTTCAAGAAATAGATGCTTATTTATAAGATATAGAGATGTTTATATGATATAAGATATTTTCTATATATTTATAGACTTAAGAATATAGTAATAAGTATTACTATTATTATTATTAAAAGTGTGACTGATGAAAGATCGTTACACTTTTTCGGCTGAGTTTCTTTTCGAGTCATAACTTTAATAATTTTTAATTTGAAAAAATTATTTCTTCTTTTTTTAACTTCTTCTGATAATTAATCTTAACAATTCATAAAAATTATTCAAGTTGATTTCATTCGATAAGCTTAAAAAAAATTAAATAATTATATCAATAATCCTAAAAAAAAACCCGATTTTTGAATCGTTAATAAAATAATTAGTGATGTAAAAATAAGAAATAATTTTTTGAATTTCAGTAAATTGAAAATAAATTTTACATCTAAGTTTTTTTTGATTTCTTATTCTTAAGAATTAATAAATTGCAAAAAATAGAGAATTATTAATAATAAATTAATTTTTAATCTTGACCAATATATAAATCTGTAGAATTTTTTATTTTTGTTCAGTAGTAACTAATTAACTAATTTAGATAAAATTTTTCAATAGTATAAAGAATACTTAAATTCAGGACAACTTTTAGAAATTTTCAATTATAATATCTAAAGAAAAAATACTAATGAATAAATTAAAGAAAACTTAAAAGAAAGCAAAGCAATATATCCTTAAAAAAATTGTTTTTTCTTCAAACATTTAATCTTTAAAATTTTCCATCAAGTACAATTTAAGTGACTATCTAAAATAGTTATTTGTTGTCATAGAAAAATTTTTACAAAAAATAGGAATTGGAGAACTACCGAAAATGATTTATGAGGGTTGCAGCAGTGACGACGTGGAGGAAAAAATAAAAAGCGGATTAGAAAATTATAAGTGGATGTTGGATGAAAAAGAGGAGATACTAATAAAAAAATCCACATACAACGAGCTATATAAAAATATAAAAACGGAGGAAAGCAACAACTATTGGAAAAGAGACAACATAAGAAGTGAAGATAAAGAAACATGGGCTAGATTACGATGCGGTAATATTTGGAGGGACGGAAAAAAAGGGCAAAATAACTGGGGGTGCAGAATTTGTGAAAAAGAGCAAGAAACGATTATTCAGATTATAAAGTGCAAGGAAATTCATGAAAAAATAACAGTGGAAGACAAACAAGCAAAAAATAAATGGCTAGAAGAGGTAAATAACGATGTGTCCAGTGAATTAATGATAGAAACTTTAAAAGGGGAGATAAAAAAAGACTTATGTACATTTATAAGAGATGTAGAAAGAGTGTTTAAAGAAAAAGCACTACATAACAAAAATTGTCAAGGCGCTGCGGACATATAATGTATACTAAAAAATGCAAAATTAATTATAAGAGTAAGAACAGAAATGTGATACTAGTAATTTTGTATAGTATAAAATTATTATTTGTTATAAAAGCTGTAAGGAGTGTGATATACTAGATTAAATCAAAGATAATTGTAAGTGGATGTAATAAAATAAAATGTAGTGTAGAGAGTGGTGTGTACTTATAAATAACTAAGAGTGTACCAAAGAAAAATGAGTAAAAAGCAATTATTTTTGTAAATGTAATATGGTAACAGTTTTGTAAAACACTAAATATGGTGATACAAATAAAATTATATTCTATTCTAGTTATTTGTTGTCAATATAATTACTCAATTAATTAAAAAATTAAATAGTTATAAAAAATTTAATTGAAAATAAATTTTGTATCTAAATTTATTCTTCAATTTTTTTATATTTAAAAAAATAGCAAAACTTATTTATTGTTTCCAAAGTAGACAAATTTTTTTAGCCTACAATAAAAATAATTTCTGCAAATTTTATTAATAAAAAATTCGTGTTATTTTTTAGAGATTGAAAATAAATAAACAAACAAACAAACAAACAATTATTTGTATATACATACTTAAAGAAGATAACTTTTTTTTACAGTAAGGTGGACACTGCCGCTGACAGATGCCCTGGCTGTTAATTACGGTGATGATTATATCCCAGAGACGAGGATTAAAGAAAAGGATCCAGATGCTATCGGTGCTTCATCACCGACCAGTTTCATTCTTCACTATGCAGCGAGAGGCCCAAAAAATCGTTGGAGCCATCACAATGTTGTGATGAGTCATACCGATCCAAGACAAGTGGCTTCTTGGGTGAAAACTATAAGGAATTATTTACTAAGTGAGTTTCATTTTTAAATTATAAATTAATAACAGGTAATTTATATTTATAATATTTTTACCGTAAAAAAGTAAACATCAATTATATTAATGGAAAAGAACTTAGTTTTTATAAAGTCTAAGGTTTAAAGTCTCAAGATTAAGTGGATTTAAAATGCTATCTTTTTTTTCTGGAATCATGAATAATTATTGAGTTTTCTTTTTTTAATTATACGACAAAGAATTAGTATTTCGTAAGACGTAACAACCGGTTACCGGGAAAATAATATAGTAGGTGGTTACGTTTATTGTTAAAGAGTTTTATTATGTATTTTTAAAGACGGAAGAAGTTATAAAAAAAAAAATAAATAATATAATTGTTTTCTTAAATGCGGAAGACAATTGCGAAGAGGAAATTGATTTTTTATTTAATTGGGATCTAAATTTTTTAATAATTGCACGGTATTGATCTTTGAGTAAGTTATTACGGCGGCTATTTTTGTCGTATTGATTTTTCAGACTGCAAACATCAAGCGATCATTAACTTGTGTCCTTGAAGTCAATTTTGAGGCATTGACTTCTGTGTAGGCTTGCTTGTTGGCGAATGTTAAATACAAAATAAGTATGCACGGAAAAAAAAATAATTATTTGAAATAAGAGAAAAATTTTTGGTAAATATTTACAAGTGGAGTCAACTATTTTAATTTTTTTTAAATTAATTTTAATTTTCATTTTTTTGAACGAAATTCTTGTTTGATTTTATTGATATTTTTTTTTGAAAAATACATAAAAAAAATTAACAATTTAAAAAAAAAAATTGATCACAATTTTAATAAATTTTCAAAAAAATTTAGAAATTTTTTAGAAAATTGTGATATTCAATTTTTTTTTAAAAATAGTTAGGAAGAATAATATTATCTTGGCTCAAGTGAACCTTTTTTCTCTGCAGAATCAAAAATAATTAAAAAATGTTAATTTTTCATCTAATTATGGCCCAAAAAGAGGTTGACCTCACTTGTAAATAATTACTAATTTTTTTAATCTTAAAAAATTTTTTTTTTGTCTTGAATCAAGACTTGAAATATTTTTTTTAGTCTAAAAAATTTTAAACTCTCATTTTCTTTATTTAAATTAATTTTTTTCTTTGCATATATGCTTACTTACTCAACTTGTAATGTAACTATTTATTGTTTTTTTTTTTCTGGTTTGTTATTGTTATTATTATTTGTTATTTATTCACAGGTATTGCTCACCGACCGAGGCGAATAATTGTATTCGTAAATCCATTTGGAGGCAAAAAGAAAGGCAACAAGATATGGGAGAAACAAGTACAGCCGCTGATGAAAATAGCTGGTGTTGAGACTAAAACTATAATCACCGAGAGAGCTGGACATATTCATGATTGTTTGCTCAATTCTAACTTGGATGACATTGAGGTAAATTACTTTTTTTTTGTACTCAGTAATTAAACTAGCAATTCTATCTGCATTCCTTTTGCACAATATATTATCTAAAAAAAATTTTTTTAGTTGCTTTTTAAATGTTAATTAGTTTAAATATTTACTGGGCGCACTCGGGTTATTTATGCTAAATATTTAATTATATATATAGAGGTTTTAATTTTTACAATTAGTATGGATGTGAGAAAGACCTTGAATTTTTAGTTTCTGTCGCTCAAGGTTAATTTTTTTAGAAGCCTCTTTAATACATAGGAAGATAAATCGATAGTTCTTCAATTATTGCTGAAGTTCGTTGGGTTTTTAGTTAATTTAAAAGGCACTCTGAGACAGTGCCCTTCACTTTTTTTTTTTCAATACATTTGGTAACCTTCAATTACATTTTTATTGATATAAATGGGAAAAAAGTAAAGTTGCTGCTGAGAAAAGAACTTTGGTATTAATTTAATTTAATATTGAATTATTTATAGATTGTTTTTAATTATTATTTAGTAGTAGGTATAGATTTCATTTTTATCAAATTCTTATTGATTATTAATTTTTAACAAGTTAATTGTTATAATTTTTTAACAATTTCATTACGAAGATAATAAAATTTTATAACAACATTTTTATTTGAAATTCACCCAAATATTGATTTATTTAATTAAGAAAATAAGGAAAATTTTGTCTCCAGTGTATTCATATGGTAAAATTCGTTTTTTAAATTAAATTTGGGATCATTGGAAAGGTCTTAATCTGAATTTGTGCCTTTTCAATGTTTCATATGCTTTTTGAACAACAAAATTAATAACAATAATAACTAGCAACCTTGCAGTCACTATGTGACTGCCGTGATTTGTGAACTAAGAACAAATAAAATTTTGCTTTATTAAATAATGAATTTTGTTAAATTGCACTGTACTTTCTTAAACATTGACGTTTTTAAAGATATGAGCTCATTCCGATGTTACACTCATCGAGAGCTTTTATTTGAGTACCCACATGCATTTTGATATATTTTTCATGTATCCATATATATATAATATATATAAATATATGACAAAATTGATGTTGGTACTCTAATGAAAGGTCTCGATGAGTGTAACGTCAGGGTGAGCTTATATCTTTAAAAATGTCAGTAGTTGACAAAATACAAGGTTATTTCTTAATTATTGGTATTTTTAAAAATATAAGCTCATCCCGATGTTAAACTCACCGAAACCTTTCATTTGAGTACCCACATGCATTTTTATATATTTTTCATATATACATATATATAATATATATAAATATATGAAAAATTGATGTGGGTACTCAAATGAAAGGTCTTGATGAGTGTAGCATCGAGATGAGCTTATATCTTGAAAAATGTCAATAGTTCACGAGATACAAGGTCATTTCTTAATTATGTATCTAGAGATAGAATGTTTTCAAATGCAGCCTAAATACTTATCATCATAAATTGACTATAGGTGAGAATGATATGAAAAGGCACAAATTCAATTGAAGACCTTTGCAATGACACTAAATTTCACTAAAAAAAATCGATTTTATCATATGACTATCCTAGATACAAAATTTTTCTTGTTTTCTTAATAATATAGATAATAATAATAATAATAATGAATTCCTATTTTACAGGCAGTAGTTTGCGTCGGTGGTGACGGAACATTTGCGGAAGTATTCAACGGCCTGATACTGCGAGCAGCTAAAGATCACCAAGTCGATCCAAATAATCCTGATGTAACGCTTCCAACGCCAAAGTTACCCGTTGGTGTGATCCCAAGCGGAAGTACTGACACAGTTGCTTACAGTCTTCACGGTACCACGGACATCCAAACAGCCGTGATCCACATAATATTCGGTGACACTGCGGGCCTGGACATCTCTTCAGTCCACGGCGATAGAACACTCCAGCGGTTGTACGCCAGCGTCCTCAGCTACGGCTACCTCGGAGATGTGATTCGCGACAGCGAGAAGTTCCGCTGGATGGGGCCCCAGCGGTACGATTACTCCGGGTTCAAGAAGATAATCGCGAACCGTGGTTATGAAGGAGAAATAGAATTACTCTCAGATCCTTGTCATCCAGCAGCAAGTACTCGCTGCATGAAAAATTGCACTCGCTGCATCCGACACATGCACAACAGCATCGCTGATAAGGAAATTGCGAGGTGGCTCACAGTTAGAGGGAAGTTTTTTATGGTGAACGGTGCTAATGTCTCATGTGCTTGCTCAAGAAGTCCTCAAGGATTCAGTCCACATTGTCACATTGGGGATGGCTGCATTGATATTATTCTAGTCCGACATACGTCATTGTTTAATAATATTAGAATGCTGCTAAGATTGACCAGTAAAAATAAAACTGTTGTAAGTATTTGTTATTTTTATAAAAATTAATAGGAAAAAAATTTTTTTTTTTTTTGTATTATTAATTGTTGATATATAATTTTTTAACAAATTGCAGAATTTTTTTTTGTTAAAAAATTTTTTATTTAAATTCAATAAATGAATAAATTATTTCCAAGCAAATAAATTAAATAATTAAATTTTTTGTTTGTGACTAATAAATATTTATAATTTTTTACAGTATGACTTACCATTTGTTGAAGTATACCGAGCCCGTGAATTTACATTCCGAGCATCATCCACAACAGAATCGTCAAATGACACGACTGTTAACACTAGCTCACAATTAAGCGTCTGGAATTGCGACGGCGAAGTACTTCAACACGCTGACGTAAAAATACGGGTTCACTGCCAATTATTGAAGGTGTTTACACGAAGAATGCAAGACCCTATTGAAGAACCCAAATGTTTTTGTTTTCCGTAAATTAAATCCAAAAGACATTTGACCAATCTGCAATCTGCAAGAGAAAAAAAAAAGTTAAAAAAATTGATATTAAATATATTAACAAGAATTAATATAATGAAAAAAAATGAAGCAGGGTGAAATGCAATAATTTTGGTAGATTCTGTGAATCTTACCAATTATACTTTACTTCAATGCGTTTACTCAATTATTATTATTTAAATTAAGAGTGCACATGTATTTATACTTATAGTTGGATTTAAGTTCTTAAATATTTTTTTTACTTTCGGATTAAACGCGCGATCCGATAAAATGTATTTATGCTCGCCTTAAATTTAGAATAAGCCGAAATTTTTTCTAGCGACGTATTTTTATTTTTCTTCTTTTTTTTTTTTTTTTAGTGTAAAAATATTTTCGTACTTAAATCTTTCCACTATGTATTATATTATATAATTATAAAATAGTAAAAATTAATTATTTAAAATTAATGATAGTAAAAAAAATAGAATAGAGTATTTTTTAGAAAATTTTAGAGAAGAAATATAAATTATCTTTATAATAATTTATTCCGTTCGCAATCATGGCTGTTAAAAAATGCAATTAAAGTTCTTTTTTTATTGAAATTTATTAAGTAATTAAATACTGTAAATAGTGAGTTCCGCGGTAATTTTAATTAAGGGTATGAAATAATTGTTACAGTAACATATCAAGACATTTTAAAACACACATGTGTTGTACATTTTTCAGTACACAAGTGGTTACGTCACTGTTGTTTTTAATTTTTTAAGTGTATTATTAACATTTTTACCTTTGGTGGATTTTTCTTGCCCTTTTTATGTTTATATGGTGTGATCGAGATATTAAATGGAAGCTCATGAGTATTTTTAATAAATTTTCCAGACGAACGAATCGTGACGAATTATTGTGATAAATAAATACAAATATAATATATATTTAAAAATTAATGAATCGAATAGTATTGAAAAGCTTTTAAAAGATGTAAGGAATATAAATACAAAAATATATATTTAATTATAATTCTAAGTAATACATTTATTTCAATCTATGACGATATTTTGTGTATTTTATTGATATAACTTAATAAATAAATTTTCAATCAATAAATTTATTTGTTTATTTTCAATTTTTGGTAATTTATTATTTCATTTTGTGACCATTGAAGTTACTATCTCACCATCTCACCAGATTACTGCAGAGTCCGACCTTACTTTTGTAAAATTAATAACGACTTTGTTGAATTGTTTTTGTGCTAGCGCTTCTTGCCCAAGAGGAATTATTTAATCTATATTCTCATTTTTTAAATAAATCTTAAGTAATTGATACTTATTATTTAAATTTAAATTATGTGATTTATCCATAATAGTATAATTAACATTTTTGGTGATTTATTTCATAGGGTATATTTTATTTCGTTCTAATTGAAGTTACCATCGACGTTAGTGAATTGTCTCTGTGCACGAGAAGTTATTTACATAAACTATATATTCTCGAATAAAGCTGAGGCTAACTTGAAAGATTTCTTCTCTGGACTGCCTTATGATTGTGTCAGGCAGATTTTGAAATATTTGACAAATAATGATTTATATAAATGTTCGTTATAGATTTAATTGAGCAGTTTATGTTTTATTATAAAATACTAAATCTAACAAGGCTTGAAATTTTTATAACAAATCATTTATTATCATGAAATTTTTTTTTTAATTTATACAGAAGTTTTTCAGTTTATATTATTTTTAAACTCATTAATTTGATAAGAAAAATTTTAATTTAATTTATTTTGAATTTAAAACTTATTTTATAAAAATATTCATCAAGTGTATTGTTTAATTTTTATATAATCATTGCTTTTTTTTAATGTTTCAAAAATAAATCATTAATTATAAACGATTTAAATTTAATCCACTATTTTTTTTTTAAATTTACCTGAAAAAAGACTAATAAATAAATTACTTAATAATCAATTGATATTAGCAAAATTTTTATTCAAAAAAAGTATCCAATTTAAAGAATTAAAAGTACACACTGACCAATGAATATAAAAATTTTTTCAACAATTTTAATAATTAACTTGTTGACGGAAATGCGGCTGGAATTTATTAGCCTTGACCTTCAACTTCATCTCATACTTGGACTGAACCCGTTGCATGAATCTGATATCTCTGATTTTCTTAGCGACCTCAACCTTCTGGGTCTCGGACCATCCAATAGCGCGATACTGACACAAAACGCGTCTCAGTTTTTCGTTCTTGGGAATAGCGAGCTGGCGGTTGGGGTCCAAGTTCTGCTTGTAGTATCTCATGAGTGATCGGTGTCCAATGACATTGCCTGAGGGCAAGACCAGCTGGTAGTCAGTGTCATCATAGTCAGGAACGTCTTCAACATCATCATCCGGGTCATGGTCTTCTGCATCTGGGTAACTTGAAGAGTAGTCATACCAGTCAGAGTATTCAGCGAGGGCCTCTCCCTCATGGAGCATCTTGCAGTGGCTCTTGTCCAGCATGTGTCCACGAGCGGCCTCTGCGCTCTGGAAAGCCCGCCCGCGGTCGTTGCACCAGATGCACATGTACCCGGCGAAAATCTTCTCACCTAAGTAAGCCAGCAGCCCTCTGACGTCGATGCAGTACTCCGGGTCAGGGATGAAGAATCCGTGGGACTCGTTCATGTGCTTCAGGTTCTTTATAATCGACTTACTGTGATGCTTGCAGAACAGACAGCAGTTGTTCTTCACCGGGTTCTCGGTGTCTTCGTTCCAGTCGTCGGAGTCCATGGACTCGACGTCAGAGTCCATTTCAACGTTCAGGGAAGATGCTATCTCGTCATCCTTTTCTGGAGAATTCAATGATTTGTTTGCAGATTTCGGAGATACGGGTTTTACATACTCTGAATCATCGCGTGGAAGATTATCGTTCTTTAAAGATTTTTCCTTGTGCTTCTTGGACATCAAGTGATTCTCGTACTGGTTAGCGGTGTTGAATGTCTTGTGACAAGCTTTACAGTTTGCTTGCTCTGATACTGCAGCATCCTCCACCCGCTGGGCAATTACCTATGATTAAATTAAAATAAATTATTTTACAATACTTTTAATTTTTTTAAATAAATAAATTATGAAAAAAAAAATTCCACATGGAGAAATTTTAAGAAATTATAAATGCAATTTTTTTTAAATAATTTCATAAGACTAAATTATTTTTTAAGTTAAATCAAAAAATGGTCAAGTGTTTTATGATATTAACCTTTGTCGTGGAAATTAAGTTAGCCGACATCTAAAAATCTTTTAAATTTTTTTCATTAAAAAAATTTATTTTTAAAAAACTTTAAAATCTATAAGTGCAATTTTTTTAAAATATCATTTAGTTCTAATTTAATATTAAAAAAAAAAAACTCAAAAAATTAACAATGTCGGCTAACTTTAGTATTATACCTTTGTCTGGAAGTTTTCAGCAGTAACTGGAGGTAATTCTGCAACTTTACGCTTTAAATTGTAGCGATGCCAATCGGTCTTGTAGTGCTGACGTTGGATCTCGGGATCCTTGAATGCTACTCGACATGTTATGCATGTATATGTTGTTGGTAAGGATTCAGTTTCCATTTTTTTTTTTTTAATTAATAATCTGTAAAAAATTTATTGATAATTAGTAAATATGTTATTTTATTAATTTTACTTAAAAATATATACTAAAGTGAACAGACATCTGACGTTTTATATTTTTTTTTAATAAATAAATTGTTATTAAAATTAGATAAAATTTTACATTTAAAAAATTGTTAATATAGTTTGTTTAATTTTTAAAAAGTTTCTTAAAAGTCGGATTTGTTAAATAAAAACTAGAAAGTCAGATGTCTGTTGATTCCAGTGTTGTAAAATATTATGATAAAAATTACTCATCGGCTGACGAGTTTTAATTAATAGAAACATTTGTTAGTAATAGAATTCATAAAAAATAAATAAGTAGTTTTTATCAATCATTAATGAAATTACTTACATTATATGAAGTAATAAATATGACCAATTCCATAAACACACGTGTTGACATTAATAAGGTTATGAATAACGTTACCTTACTCCTTTTTTATAAATATATCAAATCGTCACTGTATAATCACATCTATAAACATAAATATATATTATTATTATATATTAACCATAAAGTAACAATTAAACAATTAAAATTAGCAAACTTAATCATTAAAAACAAAAAATTACAACGTAGCTTACTTGCCATAGATTTCTGAAAAAATTCACGCATGCGCACTCGCACTCTTGGCATTTAAATTTATCAGGTGAAAAAAAAAAAACATAAATGTAAGAATTTTTTTTATAAATTACTAAAATAATTATTTAAAACTAGTAATTAATTTTTATAACCTGTAAAAATGATATTTAGAATTTTTAGTTAAATTATAAAATATTTTTTTTCTTAAAACTGATCAAAAATATTTAAAAATGAATGAAAATTAATTTAGCAGATATTTTATAATTTTAAGAATTTTTTTAATAATTAAATTATGTCAAAGAAAATGAGAAAAAAAAATTGACATTTAGAAATTTAAAAAAATTATAGATGCAATTTTTTAAAAATAATTTTTACGAAAAAATTTGTACATTAAATAAAATTAAAAAATTATTTGAAATTTTCTAAAAAAATTATTTTATAATAATTTATGTGTTAAAATAAATCCAAAAAATTGATAATACTAAAGTTAGCCGACATTTTTAATTTTTTGATTTTTTTTCATTTATTAAATTAGAGCTAAAAAATATTTTTAAAAAATTGCACTTATAGTTTTTTAAGTTTTTCACAAGTGAAAATTTTTTTTGTAATAATTTTTTCAATAAAAAAAAATTTTTAGATGTCAGCTAACTTAATTTTCATAAAAAAATGTCAACTTAAATGTAAAAAATAAAAATGACCATTTTAAATAAAAATAAAAGTTTAAAAAATAGTTGTAGATGGCAGTGAGTGCTTTATCAAAAAATATATCTGCCGATTGCGAAAAGGAAGCCGCCATGTTTTATAAATACGTAAGTGAGAATAAAACAATTCATCTTTTTGGTTCGCAGTTGTATTCAGACGCAAGTTGTCTTTCTAACCGGACGTTTACATCATTGTAATTGTTTTATTTTATTATTATCATTATAATTATACAATACAATTATAATAATAATCATTATTTCGCTGCGTTGTCAACGTATTGCGTTAAATATTTTCACTCCAAATTTCTCAGGTAATTAATCTACTTAAATTTTTATTTTATTTACTAGAATAATATAGAACAAACGTGAAATATTTTTTTTGAGGTCGCTTGGTCGCATATCTGTACCAATACATACACGTGTCTGCATGTGTTTGTATTACAGAGTATTGTGTGCGTAATATATATATATATATAGAAAGATATGCAACACATATAAGACGCACACTTTTATAATTTTAGGTAACCAGACGGTTGCGAGTAATATCGCAAAGTAAAATCACAGGGTGCTGCTCTTAAACCGAGGGCCATCCATCTGTTCCAATTTCTTGCCCAACGGGTTACAAGTGAATTTTTTTTAACGCTAGAAAGCGGCCGTCCAGCAGGGCGTTACCATTTTATATGACTTTTAATCGACAACGAGGTAAATTATTTATATTTATAAATTTTTTTCATCTTTGAGAACTACCTAATTATCATAAATTATTATTATTATTATTATTATTATTATTATAATTTATTTTATCTCCACCTCCAACTCCATTTTCATTCATATCCACATCCACAGTAATGGCCACTATCATTCGTAATTGCTCTCTAACTAAACCAGCTGCATATATTTTCACAATATTAATTCAAAGCACTTATTATTATAATTCCTATTATTTATAAACATAAATAAACAACAGATTATTTTTTATTTTTAAATAACTTGCTTGATATTATGAGATTGCCAGTATTTTTCCTGGTGATTACACTTATCTGTACAGACAGTTTATTTTTGAGTAATGATTGATAATTATTGATACTAACAATCTATTGTCACTTTTTTTTTAAGTGATTCATTTATAAGTATGACTGTGGCAGAGCTTGACAATTTTTTTAATAAGTTATAGATAATTTAATCTCATAATTAAAAAAATTAAATTTGTTTTTAAAAAATTGTCTGCTGATTTTAATATTTAATGTGGAAATTTATCTAGTAAAAAAAAAACTCTAATCGGGATTTTATTACTTTTGTTATTAAATTTGGAGAATTTTATGATGGTTAAATATTGATAAAGTATTTATATGAGAGCAAAAGCCTGATAAATGAATAATACAATTACAATTATAAATATCTCTTAGTGTATTTATTTATAAATATCCAGTGGTTCTCAATGAAATTTAAGTATATATTTATAAATGCGGAAGAAATAGCATTGGTACCTTCTAATTTAGAATAGAAAAAAAGAAAAAATAAAAGTAACAGGAGTTTAAGAATGTCGTAAGCGGTGAAACTTAAAGCCGGCTTTTATTTAAGTCCTTACTTTTAATTCCGTCTGCGATTTAATTTATTCACTTATTAATATTGATGATAATATTTTTATCTATTAATATTTCACGGATGAAATAAATTTAATCAATCAATATTTCATTCATACATTTTATCTAAAAATCAATTTATGATATCTTTATTATCAATTTATAATTAAATTAGCTACCTTGCAGTCACTATATGACTGCTGTGATTTGTGAAATATAAATAAAGAAAATTTTGATTTATTGAATAATGACTTTAGTTAAATTGCACTGTATTTTCTTGAATATTGATGTTTTTAAAGATATAAGCTCATTCCGATGTTACACTCATCAAAAGCTATCATTTGAGTACCCACATGCATTTTTGATATATTTTTCATATATACATATATATAAATATATGAAATATATGAAAAATTGATATGGGTACTCAAATGAACGGTCTTGATGAGTGTAACATCACGATGAGCTTACATTTTTAAAAATGTCAATAGTTCACAAGATACAGAGTCATTTCTTAATTATTGATATTTTTAAAGATATAAGCTCATCCTGATATTACACTCATCAAGAGCTGTCATTTGAGTACCCACATACATTTTTGATATATTTTTCATATATACATATATGGAATATATATAAATATATCAAAAAATTGATGTGAGTACTCAAATGAAAGGTCTCGACGAATATAATGTCGGGGTGAGCTTATATCTTTAAAAATGCCAGTAGTTGACAAGATACAACGTCATTTCGTAATTATTGACATTTTTAAAGATATAAGTTCATCCCGATATTACACTCATCAAGAGTTTTCATTTGAGTACCCACATGCATTTTTGATATATTTTTCATATATACATATATATAATATATATAAATATATGAAAAATTGATGTGGGTACTCAAATGAAAGGTCTCGATGAGTGTAACATCCGGATGAGCTTATATCTTTAAAAATGTCAATAGTTCACAAGATACAAGGTAATTTCTTAATTATGTGTCCAGAGATAGAGCATTTTTGAATGCAGCCTAAATACTCATCATCATAAATAGACTATTGGTGAGAATATGAAACCTTGAAAAGACAAAACTCCAGGTCAAGACTTTTCCAACGATACTAAATTTAACCATAAAAACCTATTTTATAAAATGATTATTTATATATATGATATATCATATAAATACAGTGGCCACAAAATTTCGCTTATTCTCTTAATAATATAGATCATCGCCTACTGATTGAATATTAAAATTTATGAGTAATAATAAATACAATAAATAGTGAATAATAGAGGCATTAACCGCTAATATTATTTCCCTGGCGACACTCTATGGCGTAATAGTAGATCAGTTTAAGCGGTTCAATGTACGCCTTACCAATAAATCACTAGTTACGATGGCAACATCGTTGATATAAATATATATTTATTATACCAAGCTCAAGAGTTGTAAACTCAGTTACAGTACAGTATAATAAAGTGTTATTATATATCCAAGGATTAATAAAATTAATTTGAGTGTAACTATGACCTAGGTCACGTGTCTGCTGACTCATCGGGGAAAAGTTAAAGCGATATCTGAAAAATGATACAGATCTCAGATGCAATGATACAAATCCTAGTTATCTATCTATATAAATTCTTCATCCAAGAGATAGTGGTGCACTGCGCACTCGATCAATAAACAAGGGGCGAAACCACACCGTGATTTTGCGCGATGCAACAAAACGCTTGCGCAAAGTTAATTGCCGATAAATAAATAAATACCTGCGGAGATTTGTCACATGCAGAGAAAGAGAGAGAGCGAGAGAGAGAGAAAAACATCAAAGGGATTTTTTATGGAAGAAAAAATCTCAATAGAATTCTCAGTTTTCAGTAACCCGCTTGTATTATGAAATAGAGAAATTCTCCCTCTTAAATCCGACTCGGTTATTGCGGCGCGCATCCGCCACCCAGCAGGAGCACGATCCACTGCTCGTCTCCAAACTAGAGTCCAGAGTATCACCAGTACTCTCTGCGCTAGCTAGTAAACTCAAGGGCTCGCTTTACTTTACTCAGTTGTCAAAGGGCTCTATTAAATTTACAGCCTAGTGATAGTTGGTGTAGTATATTATTTTATATATTAAATAAAATAATTATTAAATCGTCGGGGATCTCTAGGTCCCGCGGTTTCTTAATCGGCATCACCAGCGATACAGCTCTACAGATTAAAAAACGACTTATGCGTCTACGAGCAGGTACACTCACTAGATAAAGATAACTAAAAATTTTTTGTTGACCTAGATTTCATAATCGTCATTAAATTCGTCTATTGTCTATTTATTTTTCATAATACACTAAATAGGTCACGGTTAGTTTGATCGCCGATGAATAAAATATCATTTTTCGTGTACATAAGAGTGTTTCTTAAATGAATTTAAATCAATACTAGCAACCTAGCAGTCACTGTGTAACTGCCGTGGCTTGTGAAATATAAATAAATAAAATTTTACTTTATTAAATAATGATTTTTGTTAAATTGCACGGTACTTTTTTAACTATTGACGTTCTTAAAGATATAAGCTCATCCTGATGTTATACTCATTAAGAGCTTTCATTTGAGTACTCACATGCATTTTTGATATATTTTTCATATTTACATATATATATTATATATTTTAAAGATATAAGCTCATCCCGATGTTACACTCAGCAAGAGCTTTCGTTTGAGTACCAACATGCATTTTTCATATATTTTTCATATATTCATATATATTATATAAATATATAAAATATATGAAAAACTGTTGTGGGTACTCAAATGAAAGCTCTTGATAAATGTAACGTCGGGATGAGCTTATATCTTTAAAAATGTCAATAGTTCACAAGATACAAGGTCATTTCTTATTTATGTTAAATTGCACTGTACTCTTTTAACTAATGTTTTTAAAGATATAAGCTCATTCCGATGCTACACTCATTAAGAGCTTTCATTTGGGTACCCACATGCACTTTGATATATTTTTCATATAAACATATATATAATATATATAAATATATGAAATATTGATGTGGGTACTTAAATGAAAGGTCTTGATGAGTGTAACATCGAGATGAGCTTATATCTTTAAAAATGTCGAGTTCACAAGATACAAGATAATTTCTTAATTATGTTAAATGGCACTGTACATTTTTAAAGATATAAGCTTATCCCGATGTTACACTTGTTAAGGGCTTTCATTTGAGTACCTACATGCATTTTTGATATATTTTTCATATATAAATATATATGATATATACAAATATATATAAATATATGAAAAATTGATGTGGGTACTTAGATAAAAGGTCTTGATGAGCGTAACATCGGGATGAGCTTAGATCGTTAAAAATGTCAATAGTTTACAAGTTACAAAGTAATTTCTTAATTATGTTCAATCTTAAATATTGAAATTTTTAAAGATATAAGCTCATCTTGAGGTTACACTCATCAAGAGCTTTCATTTGAGTACCCACGTGTACTTTGATATATTTTTCATATATACATATATATAATATATATAAATATATGAAAAATTGATGTGGGTACTCAAATGAAAGGTCTTGATGAGTGTAACATCGGAATGAGCTTATATCTTTAAAAATATTAATAGTTCACAAGATACCAGGTCATTTCTTAATTATATTTATAGAGATAGAGCATTTTTGAATGCAGCCTAAATACGTATCATCATAAATTAACCATTGGTGCGAATGATATGAAACCTTGAAAAAGCACAACTTCAGCTCAAGACTTTTCCATCGATACCAAATTTAACCATAAAACCCATTTTATCATATAAATACACTAGTAACAAAATTTACTTATTCTCTTAATAATATAGATGATGTACTTATGTTATGACTTATAAATAAATATTTATTTATATTACATATTGCATATGCAAGTATTAAGTATTATGTATTTAATATTTTGTCAGGTTCTCATCGATAATTGCGCACAGTCAGACTATTTAACGTCAACATCATATCATGCTTAGTCAGCTCTTAAAAATTACTGTATAAATAATAATTTTTTTTAGGTCATTAATTGAACTGGGTGCCTTTAACTAATTAAACTTCCAAAAGATTTAATGAGCCTACGGGTTTTTATTTACGATAAGTCTTTTAGGTGTTTTTAAAATGTAAATTTAGTAGTAAGAAATAGATGAGAAGAAGGTGTCAAGCAGCGCGAGGTACGCCTGCTTTCAGATAACGTTATCGATTGTACGTGCATCGAAATCCAACTCGTGTGTTGTGTTTTATTTAATATATTTATCGCTCACATACATACTCTATGTGAGTACATACCGTATGTACTAGTCTAGCTGTAAGAGTGAGCGTAAGGCGGTACTAAATGTAATGCTGATTATTAAAAGAACGGGCAATTGATTTTTGCCGACTCTAGTACGTTTTACATTATGTATCGTGTTTGATTACTCTTACTTAATTTTTCTCGAGTTTATTTATTTTTTATTTTCGACTTGTATTGTTTGCTGAAAAGTGTTTTGAACAAATAATCATTTTTTGATAGGAATAAACGTCATTAAGGCTTCCTTTGAACTCGATCACCTAATCCTGTTTACTGTCGGGATTGTATAACGTTGAAACGCTTAGGCTACTGTATACATAACAATATTTTTTTTATATTAAGTGTAGAATATTGCGTAATAACTAAATTATGTCTATGAAAGAAATATTTCACTTGGGAAAATTTATTTTTATTATTTTTATATGTTGAGCGGACAAAAATTATAATGTCAAGTCCATTGCATGTACTGATAACAAAGTTAATTTAATTTAAGAGAAGAAATCTTTAATTAAATCTTTTTTTCTTTAATCTTAATCTAAGACTAGGTAACTACGTGACTGCCGTGACTTGTGAGCTTCGGATAAATCAAATTTTACTTTATTAAATAATGACTATTGTTAAATTGCACTGTACTTTCTTAAATATTGACATTTTTAAAGATATAAGCTCATCTTGATGTTACACTCATCAAGAGCTTTCATTTGAGTACCTACACAAACTTTTGATATATTTTTCATATATACATATATATATTTTCTATAAATATATAAAATATATGAAAAATTGATGTGGGTACTCAAATGAACGGTCTCGATGAGTATAAGTTCGGGGTGAGCTTATATCTTTAAAAATGTCAATAGTTCACAAGATTTTTGTTAAATTGCACTGTACTTTTTTAACTATTGACGTTTTTACAAATATAAGCTCATCCTGATGTTACACTCATCAAGAGCTTTCATTTGAGTACCCACATGCATTTTTCATATATACATATATATTATATATAAATATATAAAATATATGAAAAATTAATGTGGGTACTCATATGAAAAGCTCTTGATGCGTGTATCATCGGGGTGAGCTTATATCTTTAAAAATGTCAATAGTTCACAAGATATTTGTTAAATTGCACTGTACTTTTTTAACTATTGACATTTTTAAAGATATAAGCTCATCCTGATGTTACACTCATCAGGAGCTTTCATTTGAGTACCCATATGCATTTTATGATATTTTTCATATATACATATATATATATAATATATATAAATATATGAAAAATTGATGTGTGTACTCAAATAAAAGGTCTTGATGAGTGTAAAATCGGAATAAGCTTATACCTTAAAAAATGTCAATAGTTCACAAGATACAAGGTCATTTCTTAATTATGTATCTAGAAATAGAGAATTTTTTAATACGGCCTAACTACTAATCATAATAAATTGACTATCGGTGAGAATGAAATGAAACCTCACGAAGGCACAAATTCAAGTCTACCTTTGTACTGACACCAAATTCCTCTAAAAAAAATCGATTTTTCTCTTAATAAAATAGATAATTTTTTTTTTAAATAATTGAGTCATAAAAAACTCATTTTATTATTTTTATATCATTGCAATATTTCATGTGTCACAAAAAAAAAGTTAACTTGCCAAACAAATGAATGTTAAATTATCTTAATAATAATTTCACATGACATTTCGTTGAATAATTAAAAAAAAATTCTTATCAATAAACCTATTTATCATGATCTTAAAGCTTAATCATCAGTCGACTAAAGACAATTATTTTGGCACGCGTGTAAGCGATGCCAATTACTTTATTGGCCGTTAGAAAGTTCCGCATTAAATAAAACTATAAAAATACAAGCTAACCTAACTAAGTAAGCTTTAAATATTTTTTCTCTTAAAAAAAAACACTAATTTAAATCCTCAAAAATTTCAGAAAAATTCAGGATATCATCCAGAGGGAAAGGATCTAGTAGTAAAGGCGGCGGTGGAAGGACCGTGTCCAGACATCGTAAAATCATCAAAATTACCAAAACCAATCGTCTGATAACTACAGTAGCCGGTGAGCTAACATCAGCACCATTACTGTCATCATTGAGATTAGGATCAGTGGTTTCAGCCAGGTGGTGTGATAGTATTATTAAATCCACGAGATACGGACCAGCAGCGTGTATGATCATTGAAAACTATCCCCCTCTGCCCACAAGATCGCGGCAAAATACCAGTCAAGATACCACCCAACGTTTGTTGAACCATCTAGTCCTGCCTAAGCACAGATCATCAAAATTTTCCAGTAACAGGCATCGAAAGCTCTATCAGCCGTTTAGGGAGACGTGACTGTCGTTATTAAGTTGTGCGGCTGATCCAAAGCTCGCTGCTAAAACAACTAAATTACCAGCTAAAAATTCTGTAAAAAATCATCCTGACTCGATTGTGCTCGTGCTACCACAAGGTAGCTGTTGTACCAGACTGCCGTACAATAAAACCGATCAAACTGACACATCAGGAGGTCTCACTGGTTAACCACCAACACGTTAAAAGAACGAGGTCCAAGACTTTGCCAACTTGATTAATTAAAAATTGAGCGGAAGAAAAAAAAGAAAAAAAGAGGGAATTTTGTCGTAATTATTTAAAAAAAAATTTTTTTATTAGATTATTTTTAGCTAATTATCATCATGGGTAGCTTAAACGTTAATCGCAATGTTAGCGATGCTTTTTATCGGTATAAAATGCCAAGAATTCAGGCAAAAGTCGAGGGTAAAGGCAATGGCATTAAAACAGTTATTGTTAATATGATTGAAGTTGCAAAAGCTATTGGAAGACCAGCAACTTATCCGACTAAATATTTTGGCTGTGAATTGGGTGCACAAACGCAATTTGATTTTAAAAATGAACGATTTATTGTCAATGGGTCTCATGAGGCAGCTAAGCTTCAAGATCTTCTCGATGGTTTTATTAGAAAGTATGTTCTATGTCCGGCTTGCGATAATCCAGAGACGGAATTAATTGTCAGCGCTAAAAAGGGAACCATCTCACAGGGCTGCAAAGCTTGTGGTCATCATGGTTTGCTGGAGAGTAATCATAAGTTGAATACTTATATTCTGAAAAATCCACCTAGTCTGAATCCAGCGGCTCAAGGCAGCTCGTTGACTGAGGGAAAACGTGGCAAGCGCTCCAAAAAGGTCAATGGTGATTCTAATGGTGATCGTTCAGGGTCTCCGGACAATGATACCAGTTCTACTGATATTGTTGTTGAGGCACCGGAGATTATCAGTGAGGACAAGAAATCTAATGATGATGGCGTTGATGTTAAGTGGGCGGTTGATGTGTCGGATGAAGCGGTCAGAGCACGGCTTCAGGATCTCACTGAGGGCGCTAAAGGGATGACTATTAGTGAGGATTTGGATAAAAGCGAGAAGGAACGGATGGATATTTTTTATAAGCTTGTTAAGACTCGACGTGATGCGGGGCAACTTGATAATCATAAGGAGCTTCTTACTGAGGCGGAGAGACTTGAAATTAAGACCAAGGCTCCGTTGGTTCTTGCTGAGCTTTTGTTTGATCAGGGGATCCCTGCTCAGGTTAAAAAGTACCGGGTTTTGCTACTGCGTTTCACTCATGATGATATTAAAGCACAAAAATATTTGATTCGCGGTATTGAACAGGTCATTGCCCTACACAAGGACACGCTTATGCCTAAAGTTCCTGGTATTCTCAAGGTAATTTTTTTTTATTCAAATATTTATTTTAAAGTTAAATATAAATTGTTTAATTTTAGTTGGTTAAAATATTTTTTTTTTTAATTAATTTGAATAGCAACCTTGCAGTCACTATGTGACTGCCGTGAGTTGTGGAGTATGAAAAATTAAAATTTTGATTTATTAAATAATGAATTTTGTTAAATTCCACTGTACTTTCTTAAATATTGATGGTTTTAAAAATATAAACTCATCCCGATGTTACATTCATCAAGAGCTTTCATTTGAGTACCCACATGCATTTTTGATATATTTTTCATATATACATATATAAATATATAAAATATATGAAAAATTGATGTGGGTACTCAAATGAAAAGTCTCGATGAGTGTAACATCGGGATGAGCTTATATCTTTAAAAATTTCAATCGATCACAAGATAAAAGATCATTTTTTAATTATTGACGTTTTTAAGATATAAGCTCATCCCGATGTTACACTCATCAAGAGCTTTCATTTGAGTACTCACATGCATTTTTGATATATTTTTCATACATACATATATATAATATATATATAAATATATGAAAAATTGATGTGGGTACTCAAATGAAAGGTATTGATGAGTGTAACATCGGGATGAGCTTATATATTTAAAAATGTCAATAGTTCACATCTTAGAAACAAAATTTTTCTTATTGTCATAATAATATAGATCATTATTTTTTTTAATTATTATCTTATTCAATTTATAAATGCTTATACAAATTACTTTAAATATATAAATTATAAAATTTATTTTTATATTATAATTTTTAAATTAATCAAAATAAAATTAGAATTTTGAAAAAAATTTTTTTTTTATTGAAAAACTTGCCGTTTATATTAATTAAAAAATTTCAATAATAGCTTGGATTTAGAATTATACTGAAGGTTTTATATTTTATTCCACTAAATTAGTTTAAAAGAGTTTTTTTTTATTACTTCAAGTTTGATAAAAATACAAATATAATTGCAATCCTGTTTATGCATTAAAAAATAAAATTACATATAAATTAAAACGAATAAATGGATTTAAAAAAAGCATAAATTTCAGTAAATTGACAGCGGGATTTATGTAATGCACTATATAAATTACAACTGTTTTATTTTATAGCTTTTTTACGACAATGATATCCTAGAAGAGAAAGCTTTGTTCGAATGGGCGAGCAAAGTGAGTAAGAAGTACGTTTCAAAAGATATATCACATGAAATTCACGAGAAAGCAGCTCCATTTATTACCTGGCTCAAGGAGGCTGAGGAAGAAGAGTCTGAGTCTGAGGATGATGACGAAGACGAGGATGACGATGTTGAGGTACAATTTTTATTTTATTTTATTTTATTGTTAATTATTATTTTTTTTTTTTATTTTCTAACAATTTAATTATCCTCTTTAGATCGAGTACAATGACAGAGCTATTCAGCCGCTCAAGCAGCAACAACAGCAGAACCAGAAGGCTGCAGCTAAGCCTGTGGAAGAAGAAGATGAATATAATGATATTGACATTGATGACATTTAAGTAAACATTGATATGCAGTATCAATTAATTTTTCACTGGCAATATTGAATTATAAATGGAAAGATATTTAAATATACACACAAATTGTCACTTAAACTTCTGTACACTTCGGAGCTCAACGGACACTAGAAACTTCCTATTGAAAAATTTTTTTTATTTTTATCAATTTTTCGTTACTTTTTTTTTACAATTAAAAATGTTTTAAATTACTACCTGCCTTGTCCTCGCATGTAGTATTCAATTAAAAGTTGAGATTTTTTTTTCCATTTATACCATTATTATTAAGGCCGTTTTTCATTGTATCTTGAAATATTCTGATTAAATAAAAAAATATATGATTTATCGCATAAATATTTTTTTTTTTCATTCCTAATTATTATATAAATTTATATAAAAAATTAATTAGAAAAAAAAATGTCCATTAATATTTTTTTTTAATTTTCACATGAATTTTTTTATTAAATTTTTTTTTTTTTATAATAATTTGATTGCTATAAAATTATTAAAAAAATTTATAACGTCAATTAACTTCAGTATCTTTCTTAGTTGAAGTATTTTTAATCTATCTTATTAAGAGAATAAGAAAAATTTTGTGTCCAGGGTAGTCATATGATAAAATCGGTTTTTTTTTGTGAAATTCAGTGTCATTGCAAAGGTCTTGACTTGAATTTGTGCCTTTTAAAAGTTTCATATCATTCTTACCGCATTCTTGTGGACTATTGACATTTTTAAAGATATAAGCTCATCCCGATGTTACACTAATCAAGACCTTTCATTTGAGTACCCACATCAATTTATTCATATATTTATATATGTATCTTATATAAATATATATATATATATATATATTATATATGTATATATGAAAAATATATCGACAATGCATGTAGGTACTCAAATGAAAGCTCTTGATGAGTGTAACATCGGGATGAACTTATGTCTTTAAAAAGGTCAATAGTTAAGAAAGTATAGTACGATTTAACAAATATCTTGTGAAATATTGACATTTTTAAGATATAAGTTAATTCCGATGTTACAACGATAGTCTGGGGCAAGAATTCAGGAGAATTCCTTGAGAGTCTAACCACTGCAGACTTAAAAAACTTGAAACCTGGCGGCTCTACGCTTACTGTCTTCACCAATGACCAGGGTGGGATCCTAGATGACCTTATCATCACCAAGGATGCTGAAGACCGCTTCTACGTGGTTTCTAACGCAGGTCGCAGGGACTGCGACATTGATTTGTTCAACCAACGCAAGGTTATTGTTCCAAACTCTATTCTTCCTCAAATTATTCCGCATTTTATCCAATATAACTTCAATTTGTTTCTTGTTTTACAGGATGAGTTTGATAAAAGAGGAAGAAGAGTCCAGCTAGAGTACCTGGACCCTCTGGAGCAAGGATTAGTTGCGCTTCAGGGTCCTGAAGCGGCAAAAGTCCTCCAAAAGCTGGTTGAAGTTGATTTAAATGAAGTTTATTTTATGAATTCTGTTGAGACCCAGGCTAAGAAGGTTAATGTGAGGATTACTAGGTGTGGGTACACTGGGGAAGATGGTTTCGAGATTTCTTTCAAGGGGAGACATGCTGAAGATATTGTGGAGATGATTCTAAGGCAGCAAGAGGTTAAGATGGCTGGTCTTGCTGCTAGAGATAGTTTAAGGTTAGTAGAAATATTTTTTTAAGAAGATAATTGATAATTTTTAATTAAATTTGTAGGTTAGAAGCTGGTTTGTGCTTATATGGTCATGATATTAATGAAGAAACAACACCGGTTGAAGCTGGGCTTACTTGGCTAATTGGTAAAAGTTTTTATTACACTTAAAACATCAATTTTTTTTATTAATAGTTTAAAATATACTGATAGAATTAATATTAGGGAGTAATATGATTGATTTTTTTTAATTTTGGCAACAAAAATATATATTGTTTGAATATTAAAAATATTTATTAAAGTGAAATAAGTTAGGGTTATATTAAATAAATAGTATTGATGGTAACAGAGCCGAAGAATATTTAAATAAATATTTTTTATTATCAAACAACATTTATTTTTTTTTTTTTTTTTTAATTTGTTTAAAGTCGCATAAACTACTAAGGTCATGAGCGACTACGGTAGGGGATAAACTTTTGAGATTGGAACTCGTTTGTATTTCTTGGGCTGAGCAGAATAATACACTTAAATATTGAAAATATTAATTGGTGTACGCCGGACTCGAACCCGGTCCAATGCTTTGGTAGCAAGGGCCGGATCCGACAGGCTACTGCGCGCCTGTTTTTAATTTATTAACATTTCAAAAAATATTTTTTAGTAATTTAAATTAAAGCTATTGCATTATAACAATTTTTTGAAAATAATTACTTATTTCTTCTCATTCAATATCTTAATAATCTATATTATCAAGAGGATAAGAAAAATTTTGTTTCCAGGATAGACATATGATAAAATTGGTTTTTTTTAGTGAAATTTAGTGTCATTGCAAAGGTCTCGAATTTGTGCCTTTTCAAGGTTTCATTTCATTCGTTCGATAGTTAATTTAGTATGATTTAGGCTTCATTCAAAAATGCTCTATCTTTAGATACATAATTAAGAAATGACCTTGTATCTTGTGAAATATTGACATTTTTAAAGATATAAGCTCATCCCGATGTTACACTCATCGAGACCTTTCATTTGAGTACCCATATTAATTTTTCATATATTTTATATATTTATATATATTATGTATATTTATATATGAAAAATATATCAAAAATTCATGTGAGTACTCAAATGAAAGCTTTTAATGAGTATAACGTCGAAATGAGTTTATATCTTGAAAAACGTCAGTATTTAAGAAAGTACATTGCAATTTAACAAAAGTCATTATTTAATAAAGCAAAATTTTAATTTATTATAGTTCACAAATCACGGCAGTCACGTAGTGACTGCAAAGTTGCTAGTACAAATCACTTCAAATAAATTAATTATTAATTTATATTAAGTTTTAAATTTATTGACATTTTAAAAAAATTTTCAAAAATAATTACTCATTTCTTCTCATTAAATATCTTAGTAATAATATGTATTATAGTAGTTTTTATAGAAAAAAATTTATAAAATTCAATTGCATATAAAAAAAAAAATGAAGACATTAGATCATAATTATTTAATGAATCTTCTGAATCACGTTTCTTACATAAACAACTTTTTCATCTGCGGAAGTAAAAAAACTAAAATTACAGTAAAAGAAAAAAAAAATGTATTTCTTCAAAAACAATACATCCATTAAAATCAAATTACTGTTCATATCTAACACATTAAATTCAACTAAAATTCCTGAAGTTACTTTTAACTGCTAATTAACTTAACACACAAATAATTAATCACTTATTAGCAAAAAAAAAAAAATCAAGAAAGTAGAATGAAAATTTTACTTATTAATATATTATCGCATGTTTGTTCCACCTGATTATTAAGTATGTAACTGTATAATTTAACGTGGACAAAATATGAAAGTACTTAATTGTTCCACCGAATATTAATGAAGTTTAAAGAGTCAATTAATCAATTATAAAAGGAAGTAAACAATTTTCAAAAGATGTCTATTTGAATAGTCGCAAAAACAATTGTTTATAATTGAGAAATCAATTATTGTACTATTTTTATTTTATATTAATACTTCCACGTGGAAGACAAAAGAAACGTCTATTGTTGACACACATTTTGTTTATTTTTATTAATATATTGTATCGTATTGTATATATAAAATTAATGATATTAATATAATATAAATAAATGTATTATAAGTTGTTATGGCTGAGTTGAGCTGAGTTTAGTCGGTCTTGGCGGTAGTAGTTATATTACTCGGATAGTAATGTCGTCACGGTATGAATCATCGGATACCGTCTATCGCATTCAGCTCTCAAGCAACACAATCAGTTTTATGTACTATATACATTTTACTAGACACAGATTTTATTTTATTCATTATTTTGATACACAAAACTTGTAACATTAATTTTTTAGTATAAGTTTTGTTTAATTATTTACTCAGTGTTTTGTAACTCGACACATGAAACAATGTACTGCACTTGCAACTAGAGTAAGCAAAGTTTTTTTATCTCAAAAAATTTAATAGCTAGTATTAGTTTCAATATATTATAACAGAGTTTTATTTATTCTAGTTGGTTTGTTGACGAAAGTTAAACCTAAATTTATAACACTAATTTATTTTTATTTTATCACTTAATTGGGCAAGAAGTAACTTTTGTTTGAATTTTTTGAAAGTCATTTTCTTTCAAAAATTTAAGTGGGAGGATGGTTTGTTTTTAGAAATATGCTAATTTAATTTTTTAAGCTTATTTATATTCAAAAAAATTTTTTCTATTAATTAATTTATGTTGTGAAATTTTTAGATGTAAAAAATTTTAATTTTACTAATATTTAATAATTATTTGTGTAATAGATTTCAAATGTTTGATACTTATGTTGAAAGTATTTGAAAGAAAATGACAATTCAAATAGAAAAGAGTTTTTAAAAAGTAATTAGTCGGTTATCTAGTTCATTAGATTTTTTTAATTTAAAAATGGGATCACCGTAGGTTTTAATGAAAGAATTTTTTTATGGAATGGATTTATAATTTAAGTAGTTTTATAATTTATTTTGTGGTAAAATATTAAATCTTATTAATAAATTTTACAATAAATAAAAATTTTAATCCTTATAAATTTCGATAATAATTAAATAAATTAATTACTCATTTATATTTTTACAAATGTAATAAAAGTTTACAGTGTATTAATTCATACTTTAATTTTATTTATTTCAAGTTAATAAGATAGATAGATTTATTTAACATTGTACCACAGCAAGAACTGCTTTTTACAATTTTTTAATGGCAGTATTTTATATTAATCTGCATTTTAATAAATACTTAAAGCTCTGGTTTTACTTAAATATTTCATATTGTCTTTGCAAGTTGATAATTTTAATTTACTAGATATTCCACTAAGATATTTTGGTAATTATCCAATTTTACATTCATCTGATTTTTTTGGCATAAAAAAAAAATAACATTTTGAAGCTTTTTTATCCTTTAATTAATCTCTCTACAATAATAAAAATTTTAATTTGTAAAATTAAATTTTTCAACCACTTTCAAAGCTTATGAACAAAATTTTTTTTAAATCATCAATAAAATATGTCCATATAAGTTTATAAATTTCTAATATTTTTTATAATACTGAAGCCGTCAGCTGTTAATTTTAAAAATTTTTTTTTTAAATAAATTACAATAAAAAAATACTTCTAAAAATTTTCACTTGTAATTTTTATTAATTTTCACATGTGGAATTTTTTAATTAATTTTTTTCTTATAATAATTGCTATAAAATTCTAAAGAAATTTTTAATATCTGTCATTTTTTTCGTATTCAATGCTTAAAAATAATTAATTATATCAAAAATTAAAAACAAAAATTTTTTATCTAAAAATTGTCACATTAAAATTTTCTTACTTTTGAAAGAAAAATTTGTAATTATTAAAAAAAAATTCTAAACATAGTTTTTATACCAAAAAATCCGATGACTATAAAATTAAAAAATTGCCGAAATTTTATGAAAATAAAGTTAGCCGACATTTCAAAATTTTTAGAAATTTTTTATTGAAAAAATTTCAATTAAACAATTTAAAAAAAAAAATTTCACATGTAAAAAACTTGAAAAACTACAAGTGCAATTTTTTAGAAATATTTTTTTAGTTGTAATTTAATTAATAAAAAAAATCAAAAATTTTTAGACATCTGCTAACTTCAGTGTCGTAAAATTTTTATTGTTTTTATTTAAAATAAAAATTAATTTACTTAAAAAAAAATTTATTCAAAACTCAATTGAATTGGATTAAAAAAAAATCAATATAAAATCTGAAATTTAAATGAATTACTAACTAATAAAAAATAAAAAAAATTTTTTAATGAACCTTTTGAAATCAAGTTCTTTGAACTCGTCAATGTTTACATTTATAAAAACTTTTCAAGATTGCATAAGTGTGTCATCTATTGTAAAAAAGTTCCCTTTCATTTTTCCTCATTTTCATGTCAAGTCATAACATAACATCTCTTGATTCCAGTGAAACAATAATGATAATGACGGTAAACCGCCCCTGCGTTCCATACCATCCACCTTTAGTAGTAGCATGCATGTGCAATTACACACTCAACTTTTACTCAGTGCAGTAGCAAGTACAAGTACATCTGTACTTACACTTTTATTATTCACATACATCACATCAGTTATTTATAATGATAAAGTATGGGTGAATATGCAGGAAAATGCACACAGATATCGAGGCCACATGAGTAGCGCACGCGCTGGTACAAACTCCCACCCCTTGCAATTAAGTACTACATACCCACGAGGGGTAAGAGACTAAAATCTACTGAAAACCCAAACGCGACTTCAGTGAGGAGTTAAACCCCTAAGTGACGTGATTCCCCGTAGTTTAACATTACTCTGTATAGACATATATATTTTTCTACCAAATTTGTTGTAGCTTTTAATAGTTATCACTAATATTAAAAATTAACGCTAATATTTAATATTTAATGTTGATAATTAAAGAACAACTATTAATTTTTTCAATTAAAAAATATCTTAGATATTTAAATAAAAATTTTTAAAGTTTCATAAGAAGGAGTAGAGGCTTGAAATTAGTGCGGCATTTAATTATAAGAGTTTAATTAACTTGGTTTATATTTATATTTATATTTAAATAAAACGCTGATGTCTTCGGCTAGACGTTAGCGACACAAATCGATATCGCCGTATATACATAAGGGTTTTATCTTTTTTATACGGATTAGGTAGGTCTGGCAGATTCTGATATTATCAATGGGTAGAACTGATATGTCTAAAACACTTAATGCCTATAGAATGTGAGTTTAATCGTAAGTAATTATATTATCCATTTAATCACTGATAAAAAAATTCATTTGATTTTTAAGAGATAAATTCTGTCATATTTTATTTTAAGTTTTAATTTTAAAAATTTTTTTAACGAATTTTAACAAACAATTACAATAAAAAAATGCTTCTAATAATTTTTATTAATTTTCACATGTTAAATTTTTTTTATAATAATTAAATTATTATAAAATTCTAAAAAAATTTTTCATGTCAACTTCAGTATCATTAAATTCTGGGATTAAAAATTCTTGAATAAAGATTTTTTTTTTTGATTCAAATAAATTTTATCTGATTAAATCAAATTAATTTTTTTATCAATTTACATTCTTCATTTTTATGAGTCTGAAATTAGCAGATAATTTTTTTTTATGCTAAATAATTTAAAGTTTAATGGTAAAAAAAATTATTAAAATTTTTAAGAGTTTCTTTTAAATTTTCAAGTTTATTTTATATATAAATTTTTTTTTGATAAATTAATTGTTAATTACTTTAATAAATTAAAAAAAAATTTTTTTGTTTAATTCTTGGGAAGAAATGTAAGTGTGAGTTGATTGTAATTACAAAATAATTTATTAATTAAGAAGTTGGATTTAAATAAATGATAAAATTTTAAAAAATTTTTGTTTGTTTATTGTTTAGTCTTCTACGAGAATTTGACGAAAAAATTGAGAAGAAATAAGACAGGTTATTTTTAAAAATTTCTTGGCTGTTTTTTACTTAAAAAATTACTGTAGTTGTGGCTCAAAATTGGAAAAACTTTTTTAATGTTTGTGTAAAATTTGTGGTTGAAAAAGTGGAAAGTTAATAAATGTTTTAGAGTAGTTTTTAGTGTTTTGAAATATTTAATTTATTGTTCATTGTTTGAAAAGTTTAATAATGATTTTTTTTTATTTTATGAAGTAATTTAAAGTTTAATGAAATGTCAATTTTTTAGAATAAAATTACAATTGATAAAAAACACATTACATTTTTTTCGTTAATTTTTCATCAAATATATTTTATAATTCACAATATTTGAAGCTTAAGTCAGAAAAGTTCATAAAAAATTTTTCTCTGATAAATTATTGTAAATTTAATGATAAATTAAATTTTTTTAATTGTAAAGAAAAAATAACTACGTATTTTTTAATTCTTAATTTAAAAGAAAATGTCAAGTTTCGATTTTCAGTATCATATTCTTACAATAAAAACCCCAAGTCTAGAAAATTACTCAAATAAAACAAACTCTTTGTAAAAATACACTTTTTTATACACTAGAAATTTGAATAGCGCGCTTAAATTTTAACCAATAATGAATTGTGGCCCGTTTTTGCGAGTTTCGACCTTTGACTAACTTCAAGACTTTCATCTATTGCACGCCTCATAAGCAAAGCGTTGAGGTTGTGGTCTACTCTCGACATTTCGAAAAAAGCAGTTTTCTTGAAACTGAAATTGATTTTTTGTTATTTATATCGCACTTACAGGTTAATATGAGTGCATTTATATCAAGTAAAATAATTTGTAAGGCACATAAAATATATTTCAATAACAATTTTTTTGTTTAACATAGTAAATAATAACATTAAACATAATCTTTTCTGGACGTCCATGTGTTAATGGGTGTATGTGGCAGGGAAATTGGTCGAAAAAATGATCGTACCGGAATAATTCTTTTTTTATTATCTAAAGTAACACACGACGGATTTTCTTAATTAATATGAGCGTTCAATTCACTGCAGTTGAATTATTATTTATAAAAAACTAATATATGACTGTGAAATTTTTTGTATATCTATCTATACATTTTATTATAGTATAGTATTTTTTTTCCTCATCTTAGAGTTATGGCGCCACTAAACCATAGCAGTTTTCTGTTTTTTATTATTTTACTTTTTATATTTTATTATAATCAATTTTATTGTAAAAAAATGAGATTATGAGGCGTGCACTTTTGGATTTTCCAAACTTTTTTATAATATAGGACTAGAATTCAAATTTGCACGCGCAAGCCTGACTATAAAGTTTGCATATATTTTCATGCTTATGATATATTCGACCAATCACGTTACGAATAGTTTGATGCCACATACATTTCATCTCAATTTTATAATGGGATCTTTCCGCTGAATCTTAGTCGAGAAAATTTCGTCAAGTGTGAGAAGGTAAATAGAGGCTGAACTAGTGAGCGCACGTGTTTTTGTTTATCTCAAATAGCTTATCCGATAACTTAATTATTTATAGTAATTAATTATCTTTGTTATAGCTTATGGATTTAAAATTTCAATTAATAAGGAACTTTGTCTTATGTTATATTCAGACACGTGTTTAAAAAGATAACAAAAAATAACAATATTTTATTTCATACCGGTATTGAATCGATCCCATTAATTTTTTTATTTATTAACCGGTGGTATTAAAAAAGATAATAAAATCGGTCTTATTAAAATAAAATAATTGAAAAAAGCGACCTCCAGTCAGACTATTTATCAAATTTTTCCAACGCCAAACAAGTTTCAGTTAAGTTCTTGTATGCAGCCTAAATACTTATCATAAATTTAACCATAAAAACCCATTTTATCATATAAATACACCGGCCACAAAAATTTTCTTCTCTTAACAATATAGATATAATAATAATAATAATGAAGTGTTTTACAATTAAAAAAACAAAAATAGTTCAATTCTTTCAAAACAATCAAATTTAACAAATCCAATTCTTATTCTCTTTAAAAAGAGGTCAAGGTCTGCTTAAAAATCAAGATATCCAAATCAATAAATCTCATTGTACATTTATCAATGACATCCATTATTACAAAAAAAAAAAAAAAAACAATAATTAAAATCCTAAAAAAAATTGTAATTTATTGAATGAAATAAACCAAGAGTATAACAAAATTAAGTAAACAAAACTTAACGCGCAGTCGCGAACTTATTGAACGATTGATATTTTTCGTCCGGTTTTGCGCAACTTTCGACATGGGGTAAGTTATTATTTCCGAGGTATTTAATATTATTTATAAAAATATTCTGATGAAAAAAAAAAAAGAATTTAAATAACAAGTTACTGATGGATTGAATTATCCTTGCGGAGTCTGGTTCTGAAAGGGTTTTTTCAGTTGTTACATTATATGTGAAAAATTTTTACGGTCAGAAGGTCGACGAGTTTGTAGTGGTCATTGGACGACAACTGCTGCGATGCTAGCAGGTCTTTAAGACATTTATTTTATTTTATTCAACACAATTAATTATCTTTGTTTCATTAAAAAAAACAACTACCATTTAAATATTAATGTCAAGAATGTTTTTTTTTAGACTAGACTAATTAGGCGTCTGATAGAATTAAATTCTATAGAGAATTGTTGATTGTGAATGTCATATCAAGCTTCATTATTTATTTTTAATTTAATTTTGTAATTTTTATTAATTGATATTTTTACTTGCAGAAAAAAAATAGAACACATTGGCAGAATGACAGCCATGACGCAGGAGGAAATTATAGCTGGCGCCCGAACGGTGGCCCAGGGCTTAGAAGCTCTGAGGGTCGAACACACTGGACTCCTCCAAGGACTCCAGTCTCAAGAGGCACCGGAGGCTCGCGACAAAGTCAGTCTCCTCTGTAAAAATATTGAGATGATAGAGCTGGGCCTGGGAGAAGCTCAGGTAATGATGGCCCTCGCCAGCCAGCTTCAAATGGTTGAGGCGGAGAAACAGAAATTGAGAACTCAAGTGAAAAGGCTCTGCCAAGAGAATGCTTGGCTACGTGATGAGCTTGCTGGTACGCAACAGAAGCTACAGGCTAGTGAACAAGCTGTAAGTTGGACAAGTTTTTTATTTATTTATTATTTGGGTTTAATTTTAATCTGGCTATAAAAGGTGAAATTTATTTAGAGAATTCAATGAGAAAATTATTAATTCAGAAGAATTTTAAATTAAGAAAAGTTTGCTTTAGTTTGTAATTCAACCTTTGATAATTTATTCAGTTTTTTAATCTTTAAAGAACTTGTGAATTATATCTTAGCTGTGATTGAAAAAAACTCTATTATTATTTGAAGCTTTGGGAATTAAAAGAATACTTTTTTATTAATGAGAAAAATTTTTCTTTAATCAAAAGTTTTCATTTATTATTCAGATGGTGAATATATATTTTAAAGAATTATTTTAAGGTGGATAATAATGATCTATATTATTATTATTATAGAATTAGATTATTAAATTATTAAGAGAATAAGAAAAATTTTGTGTTCAGGATAGTCATATGATAAAATCGGTTTTTTTTTTAGTGAAATTTAGTGCCATTACAAAGGTCTTGATTTGAATTTGTATCTTTTTAAGGTTTCATATCATTCTCACCGATAGTAAATTTATTATGATATGTAGTATTTAGGCTGCATTCGAAAATGCTCTATCTTTAGATATATAATTAAGAAATGATGTTGTATCTTGTAAACTATTGATATTTTTAAAGATAATATAAGCTCATCCCGATGTTACACTCATCAAGACCTTTCATTTGAGTACCCACATCAATATTTCATATATTTATATATATATATTTATGTATATTATAAATATGTATATATGAAAAATATATAAAAATACATGTGGGTACTCAAATAAAAGCTCTTAATGAGTATAACATCGGGATGAGCTTATATCTTTAAAAATATCAATAATTAAGAAATGACCTTGTATCTTGTGAACTATTGACATTTTTAAAGATATTAGCTCACCCCGACATCATACTCATCGAGACCTTTCATTTGAATACCCACATTAATATTTCATATATTTATATATATTATACATATGTATATATGAAAAATATATCAAAAATGCATGTGGGTACTCAAATGAAAGCTCTTAATCAGTATAACATCGGAATGAGCTTATATCTTTAAAAACGTCATTATGTAAGAAAGTACAGTGCAATTTAACAAAAGTAATTTTTTAATAAAGCAAAATTTCATTTATTTATAGTTTATAAGTCATGGCAGTCACATAGTGACTGCAAGGTTGCTAATAATAAAAATAAAACTTATTTCAATTATTTTTAAGGTTGCTCAGTTGGAAGTCGATAAAAAACACATCGACTTTATGGAGAGTATGAGACAATACGATCCAGATCCACCAGCAGACGATGAAAATGTAAAAGACAAACCAAAGGAGGATCCAATGGTCGATTTGTTCCCGGATGATGAAGGGGACGAACGAAACAGTAAGTGTACGTTAAAAACAGTTCCATATTATTTCTCGATCCATAAAATACCACTTATCAAAGCTATTAATAAATGTCTGAGTTAATAATATAATTATTTTAAAAATAAACAGCAATGTCACCAACCCCGCCGTCACAATTTGCCCAGCAAGTGAACGCCGGCTACGAGATACCCGCACGTCTGCGTACGCTGCATAATTTAGTAATACAGTACGCAAGTCAAGGCCGTTATGAAGTTGCAGTTCCACTGTGCAAGCAGGCACTGGAGGACCTTGAGAAGACCTCGGGTCACGATCACCCAGACGTCGCAACAATGCTTAACATACTGGCGCTAGTCTACCGCGATCAGAACAAGTACAAGGAGGCGGCCAATTTGCTGAACGACGCGTTAGCGATCCGTGAAAAAACCCTCGGGGAAAATCACCCGGCAGTCGCCGCGACGCTTAATAATTTGGCGGTGCTCTACGGAAAGCGTGGCAAGTACAAGGAAGCTGAGCCGCTCTGCAAGCGTGCTCTGGAGATCCGGGAGAAAGTTCTTGGTCGCGACCATCCAGACGTAGCCAAGCAGCTCAATAATTTGGCGCTTCTCTGTCAGAACCAGGGCAAATATGAAGAAGTTCAGAGATATTATCAGCGTGCGTTAGAAATTTATGAAGCTAAGTTGGGTCCAGACGATCCCAATGTTGCTAAGACGAAGAATAATTTGGCATCTTGTTATTTAAAACAAGGAAAATACAAAGATGCTGAAGTTTTATATAAACAAGTTCTCACTAGAGCACACGAGCGGGAATTCGGTGCTATCGATGGTGATAATAAACCTATTTGGCAGGTATTGTATCCATAAATTTATTTGTTTGTTTTTATTTTAATACAAAAAATTGCGAGTGAATTTTTATTCCCTAGAGTGGAATTTCATATATTAAATATATTAAATCTATTAAATATATTAAATTACTAAAAAAAGGTGATCGTCTATTTTTTCTCAAGCAAAAATTCTTAGCAATAATTTCTTGTACAATATTTTCTTAAAGGCTTCATTTTTCAATGTCAAAATTTATTCGGTATTATTTTCTCATACAAAAATTTATTTAAATATTTATAGCTTATATGTTGGTCTATTTTTAGATAATCACACATAAAAATTATGATAGGGCCATGTTAATGTTGAAGATAAATAAATAGTTTCAGATTAATTTATGTTGTAATAAATTTTGTTTTGAGAAATTATTGCACTTGAGATACTTATTGTTGTACGATAAATTTATTTAATTGAATGTAGCAATGTTAATTTATTTTTTTTACTTAAAAATTAGAATCAATGTTCTAGTTAAATTTTTTGGAAAAATATAATTTAAATCAGCAAACTCAAATTTGAGATAAATTTTTTGAAGTATTTTTTAAGGCTCTCCGCCTTTATTAATCCGCAAAAATTATCTACGTAATTTTTAAGTGAAAATCTAATTTTTAAGAATCTAATTTTTAAGTAAAAAAAATAAAAATTAACATAAATTAGTTACTTTAATATTATTGAAATTAACTTTTATATAGAAATTTTTAGAATTGATTATCAAATAAATTATTATATAAGGTAAAAGTCCCAATAGATAATCATATACTGGTACATAAGCATCTATTGGAGCTTTTACCTTTGAGAATTTATCAAAAAAATTCACTCTCCAAATTATTTATAGTGTAAAAACAAGATTTATAATAATTGCCGTATTTATTTTAAAGGTCGCCGAAGAACGAGAAGAAAACAAACATAGAAATAAAGAAAATGCACCTTATGGCGAGTACGGTGGATGGCACAAAGCGGCTAAAGTTGACTCACCCACTGTAACTACGACGTTGAAGAATTTAGGAGCTCTTTACAGACGACAGGGCAAATACGAAGCTGCTGAAACCCTTGAAGACTGTGCTCTGAGATCACGCAAGGAAGTGAGTTAGAAATTTATTTACTTTTCAATTATTTATAAACAGAGCATAAATTTCATCGTGATATCGTTACATTTATTCTTATCCTGGATTTTAAGTAATCCTGAGTGAAATTTTCAATTACAATGCTAATTAGAGTTTAATGTTGCACAATTTTTTTTAATGCACGCAGCATTTGCAGCAGGTGAGTTTTCAATGCTTTTGCAAATTTCATTCATCATTCACGCGATTTTTTATTTTTAATTATTTATTTTTTTTTGATAAATTAAAATAATTTTATGATTAATATTTAGGCTGCATTCGAAAATGCTCTACCTCTAATTACATAATTAAAAAATGACCTTGTATCTTGTAAACTGTTGACAATTTTTAAGATATAAGCTCATCCCGATGTTACACTCATCAAGACCTTTCATTTGAGTACCCACATCAAAATTTCATATATTTATATATATATATATATATCATATATATGTATATATACGAAAAATTTATCAAAAATGTATGTGGGTACTCAAATGAAAGGTCTCGATGAGTGTAACATCGGGATGAGCTTATATCTTTAAAAATATCAATAATTAAGAAATGACCTTGTATCTCGTCAACTACTGACATTTTTAAAGATATAAGCTCATTCCGACATTACACTCATCAAGACTTTTCATTTGAGTACCCACATCAATTTTTTCATATATTTATATTTATATATATTATATATATGTATATATGAAAAATATATGAAAATGCATGTGGGTACTCAAATGAAAGCTCTTGATGAGTGTAACGTCGGGATGAGCTTATATCTTTAAAAATGTCAATAGTTAAAAAAGTACAGTGCAATTTAACAGAAGTCATAATTTAATAAACCAATATTTTATTTATTTATAGTTTACAAGTAACGGCAATCACATTGTGACTGCAAGATTGCTAGTTTTTTTTTAATCTTAACATTTAAAAAAAAATTAATAGTTTGATATTTTTTTTTTTTTTACAATAAAATTATTTAACTTTTTAATAAAATAAAAATAATGACTAATATTAATAAATAATTATTTTCAGGCCCTGGATTTAGTAAAACAAGCTAAAGTCGCACAAATACTTGGTGATGAGAAAGGCTCAACGCGACGTGGATCACGTTCGAGCCTGGCGAACAGTGAGCACGAGCAGCACGACGAGGTGAGTGTCCAAAAAAGAAAACCTTGACCACTATAATTTATCAAAAAATTTGAATAGTTAAATTTAAAAATGATTACAACTTATCTTATAACTATAACAGTATTTTATATATTATATAAAAAAATGTATATCGCACCGCATGTCGTAGTATCACCATTAGTCGTCTTCTATCCTTTCTTCTTTCTTTTTTGTTTATTTTTTTTTCGTTGTCCCGGCCCGATCTGACGATTCTTCGACACACACATGATCACAATCCACAGGGCTCGCTGCCGCTGGTACAGAGGTCACTTCATGATGGACAGTCCACCAACAGCGACACTAGTTCTAATAAACCCGGGTTCAAAAATAAATTCTTCCACGTTTTCGGTATTAATTCAAACACGTAGAATTTAGTAATAGAAAAGAAAATATAAATCAATTTTTACTGTTTCATTATTACACGTACGAGGATAGACTCATATTTTATAATTAAAATTAATAACGCAATCTCATATGTCTTAATTGTAACTTGTCATTGAAGTTTTAATTTATATAAATCACAAGTAACGTCAAATATTTTTATTTTATCTCATTGATTGCTCATATTTTTTTTTTTAATTTTAAATTATGTATATTTAAATTAATATGAGTAATTAAATACAATAATTGACGATAGGTGCTTATAATTGTGCATTTGACTCAAAAAAAAAATATAACAATTAAGACCAGTGATAAAATTATTTATTGATAAGATCTGAATAATTAATTATTAAAGTTAAAATAATAAAGATAATAGTAATGCTTCAGACATATCCTGTAACAGATGTCATAAGGGCGTATAATAAAAATCCTATGAGGAGAAGGGGAAGGTTTCACAGTCGGAGAATTTAACATTTGAAACAGTAAAAATTCTACTCTTAAAATATATATTTTCCCAGTCTAAACAAATCAATAGTTATAGTTTGATTTTTAGCGTTGCGTTTAAAATTTATCATTTTTTACTTTGCAAATATTGACGCTGTAGTTTAAATATTCATGACACTGAAGTTAGCAGAGGTCTAAAAATTTTTTATTTTTTTTTTTTTTAATTAAATTACAACCAAAAAAAATTTATAAAAAATTGCACTTATAGTTTTTCAAGTTTTTAACATATGATATTTTTTTTTTTTAATTGTTTAATTGAAATTTTTTCGATAAAAAATTTATAAAAATTTTGAAATGTCAGCTAACTTCATTTTCATAAATATTTTACATATCATGCGATCATTTTTTAGGTAAAAAATGATAAATATCAAAGTCAAAATTTTTAATTATTATACTTTAACATTTTCGACTTTCACGTAGCAAATATTACTATTTGAAATAGTATTTTCTTCCATGTAAATAATAAATTGTAATTGTAGTTTTTATTTCGGGTTTGTCAGCTCTGAATTGAGGGAATGAAGACTTAGGTTATTTAATTACGGAAAAAAGGGAAAAGAAAAGAGGGAGATAAGATGAAAAAGTAAGTTGATGAAAAAGTTTTATAGAGTAATGAAATGAGTAGGCTTACTTGTTGGGCTTGATTTTGGGGCATCTGCAGGCGAGATCCTCGGTGTGTACGTAGAGTGGAATAGGACCGCGTTTAATCTTGGAATCCTCGTTTCGTTTGTAGATCAAATCAACATTTAGTGTGAATCTGGCAAAGGAATTGCCTGTAGCGCTACCACTTGATACCTCATTACTCTTGTATCTTCCGGTAACTCTACCGAGAATTGCTGAAACACATCAATAAACACTATAAATTGTTCTTGCTACAAGCTAATTTAAACCAGGTAATTTTCATTCTACGCTCTTAGTTATACTATGAAAATAAATAGATGCCAAAGGGAAATCAACTTCTGGAGATCAACTACTTTTATTTACTAACTAAATAGATCGTAACTTAAACGATATCCAGAATAGTTCTTTTTTTAAATAAATGAGTATTTTTTTTTTATAAAAAAAAAATACGGTAAATATTTACAAGTAGAAAAAAAATTAGTTTTTATTTTTTAATGAACTAAAAAATTAAAATATCATATTTTAAAATTTATTTAGATTAAATTAAACTAATTTGAAATTACAACAATCTAAAAATCCAATATTTGTTCCAGGACATTGTTTCAAAATTTATAACGTTCGATTAAATGAAAATATTGTCGCATTATTCGAATTTACAGCAATTGAACTATATAAATTGATCCTAAATGCTTGATAAATAATGACACGGACGGTAAATTTATTAAAATACGTAAAACATAAAATCTATTATTAATCCCCATTAAATTAAAATTCATCGTATTCATCGCAATAAATAACGTCGTTTAAAACATTCGGAATAAATGTCTGTTAAGGCAAATGGCGCGATTAGTTACGCCCTCAATAGACGTGTACATTCGTATAAAAATATCTCCCGTACAATTATAAACAACGCTATACATATATACTTTCATCTCGATTGCGCTGCAGCTTGCAGTAGTCTAGTCTACACTCGACTCGACTCGACCGAAAACACTGGTCTGTTAAGTATCATGTTCATGTTCAATACATGTCAATTTAATAGGAAACTCGCTGTTTGTCTCTAATTGAAATTGTAATTCTCATAGGTATCCAAAACATATTATATTACACACTGATAGAAGGATTTGTTTATAATAAGCTTTATTAATTGTTAATAAATGATTTTTTAACATCATAGGATTTAATAACAGTTAATAAATTATTTATTAAATACGATTTATTAAATGTTAATAAATATTTATTAATGGTTAATGAATATTTGTTGACTGCTAACAAATATTTATTTAAAATAAAAAGCAAAAATAGCAATTTTCTTTTGACACTTTTTATCTCTAATAGCTGGAATACATAAAAATAATTCAATTCACTAAATAAATTAACCTTTTTAATATTTAAAAATATAAAAGATAATTATGAGCTGGGATAGAATTTGGTATTTAACAATAAACGTTATTAAAATGCAAACTAGCAACGTTGCAGTCACTATGTGACTGCCGTGACTTGTGAACTATAAATAAATAAAATTTTGCATTATTAAATAATGACTTTTGTTAAATTGCACTGTACTTTCTTGAATATTGACATTTTTAAAGATATAAGCTCATCCCGATGTTACACTCATCAAGAGCTTCCATTTGAGTTGCCACTTGCATTTTTGATACATTTTATATACATGCATATATATATAATATATATAAATATATAAAAAATTGATGTGGGTACTCAAATGAAAGGTCTTGATGAGTGTAAGATCGGGATGAGCTTATATCTTTAAAAATGTCAATACTTCATTTGTCTTCAAACAAATTTAATTATTAATAGTTAATAAATCCTTCTATCAGTGCATCAGTATCAACAATCATAATAATAAATCACGGCAAGCCCTAAAATTAATAGCGATTAATAAAATAAGAGTAGACTTGTAAGAGTATTAGGATAAAACTCGTTGAGAATTCGGATCCTTGCATCCCTTGCGGAGATGCAAGGGTCGATCATTTTACACAATATAACAAGAGTATGTCGAGTGTCAAGTCTCACATTAGTATCAGTGTTATTAGTAGTGTAGGTTTTATTTTATCCGGTATTAGTATGGGTAGTAGGACGATAGACGATAGGACGGAAAACAAGAGTAGAGTCACATCACTTGTTTGTGTTATATTACGTGTCGTCCCCTTGGTGGTTTAGTATCCCCGGCGTATAGTAGTGCAGCACTATATACCAACGGCGAAAGACTCAAAAGCGTGCCGTTCTATTATTGAAGCACCACGTCGGGCTCTTTTCATTTCATTTTTTTTTTATTATTTCTACCCATAGTCCACGCGGTTAAATCCCTCTGCGACAAGCTCTCGGGCACTCGGGTCAAACACGCTGGATTCTTTTCTCCTTCTCGAGCTTTTTTGGCCTCTACACTTTTATAAATATATATTTATCTATTAAGTATGTCTTAAAGTCTTTATGTACTTACTACCTATTATTTATTATTTATTTATTCAAGTATTTATTTTGTTTTATGACGTTAATATTTTATATTTTGAAAATACTCTTACCGTAATCCCTCTTGCAATATTTATTCAGATTTAATCTTCGTGTTGTTGATGGACATTTTCCGCAACGTTCTGCAATAAAAAAAATTTGCATTATTATTATTATTATTATTTTTTTAAATTACGCTGTAAATAATTTGAGAAGTTAATGCAAAGTGGATGATTAAAAATGTATTCAATCCTTTCGAAATGAAATTCATTTCGACAAAGATTTTATTTATATTATTAATGAAAAAAAACTCTGCAGAGTAAACTTATAATTTTTTTTTATTGAATAATAATAAAAAAATAATTTTTATTCGTTTAAAAATTAAAACATTAAAAAAATTAAAAAATGCTCTATCTCTAGATACATAATCAAGAAATGATCTTGTGAAATATTGACATTTTTTAAGATATAAGCTCATCCCGATGTTACACTCTTCGAGACCTTTCATTTAAGTACCCACATCAATTTTTCATATATTTATATATTCTATATATATGAATATATGAAAAATATATCAAAAATACATGTGGGTATTCAAATAAAAGCTTTTGATGAGTGTATCATCGGGATGAGCTTATATCTGTAAAATTATCAATAATTAAGAAATGACCTTGTATCTTGTGAACTATTGATATTTTTAAAGATGTAAGCTCATACCAATGTTACACTCATCGAGACCTTTCATTTAAGTACCCACATCAATTTTTCATATATTTATATATTCTATATATATGAATATATGAAAAATATATCAAAAATACATGTGGGTATTCAAATGAAAGCTCTTGATGAGTGTAACATCAGGATGAGCTTATATCTTTAAAAACGTCAATATTTAAGAAAGTACAGTGCAATTTAACAAAAGTAATTATTTAATAAAACATAGTAATGTTAATAATTTTTTATTTCTTACGTTAAGAATTTTTGAACAAAATAAATTTCTTAGAAATTATATACTCAAGATTAATGATATAAATTTTCTATAATAGTTAATTTAAAAAAAATTTAATTAATGAACTGCTTCGTATAAAAACAATAAAATTCTAAACTGAATAATTAATTAAAAAAAATAATTAAACTAGAAAAATTAATTAATAAAAAATACTTCACCGAGTGAAGTTTAATTTGTATTCCATTGTCTGAAGATATATAAATCCCGAGACAAGGAGCAGGTGTAGAAGCATTACCACTTGAATGTACCTCGTCTCAACTTGACATCAGCCACCATTATTACCCAACTATATCTGTCCATCCATTACTCTAAGCACATATATCTCCGACGTGCGACTCTAACATCCACATTTACCTATACTATGCATTATGTACACGCAAC